CTGAGCAGAGCTCCCCCTGTGGGAGCTCACTGACCACCAGGGGGCAGCTCCTGCATTGAGCATCTGCCCCCTGGTGGCCAGTGTGTGTCATTGTGACCAGTCATTCCCAGTTTGTTCTGCTGTTAGGGTCAATTTGCATATTACCCTTTTATTATATAGGATAGAGGCCTGGTGCATGGGTGGGGGCCGGCTGGTTTGCCCTGAAGGGTGTCCTGGATCAGGGTGGGGGTCCCGCTGGGGTGCCTGGTCAGCCTGGGTGAGGAGCTGATGACTGTTTGCAGGCTGGTCACACCCCCTTCAGGGTCTGGGGTCCCCACTGTGGTGCCTGGGCAGCCTGGGTGAGGGGCTGAAGGCTATTTTCAGGTTGGCCACACCCCCTTTAGGGTGTTGGTCCCCACTGGGGTGCCTGGCCAGTCTGGGTGAGGGGCTGAGGGCCATTTTCAGGCTGGCCAAGCCCCCGGCAATGGAAGCTCCCAGCCTCTCCTTTTTTTCTTTTATTCTGGGATTTATTTACCTTCTATAATTGAAACTTTGTTGCCTTCAGTGGAGCTCAGAGCCAGCTCCTCCTCGCTCCAGCTCCATGGCCACGGCAGGCTGAAAGCAGGTATCTGGAGATTATTTATGTTCTATAATTGAAACTTTGTTGCTTTGAGTGGAGCTCAGAGCCGGCCAGGAAGCTTGGCTTCCTCCATCACTGGAGAAACCAAGCCTCCTGCTCGCTTCAGCTCCGTGGCTTCCGGCCGATGCCGGAGTCCAACCCCAGCAGGTCCAGGGGTCCCCAAAGGTGTGGACGGAGTCGGCAAAGAAGGAAGGACACGGAGACAGCGTTCAGTTGATCAGCAGCCTAGCCAGGATCTCCAGCCAGGATCTCCAGCCAAGTTCTGGTCTGGATCTCCAGAGAGGTTCTGCTTTGGATCTCCAGCCAGGTTCTGTGTCCATGTTGTCTTGCTAGGTTCTCCAGGTTCTCCAGCCAGGTTCTGTAGCCATGTTCCCTCGCTAGGTTCTCCAGCCAGGTTCTGTCCAGGTTCTCCAGCCAGGTTCAGTTACCAGGTTCTAGTCAGGTTCTCTTGCCACTTTCTGTAGTCAGGTTCAGTCCAGGATCTTTTGCCATGTTCTCTCGCTAGGTTCTGTCTCTAGGTTCTGAGGCCAGTTTCTGTCCAGGAACTTTTGCCATGTTCTCTCCAGCGAAGTTCTTCTGTCTCTAGAGAACGTTCTGTGTAGGTTCTGTGCCTAGGTTCTGTCTCTCTTGGTTCCGTATTCTAAGTTCTCTGTCTTGCTGTCTTATTACATCTGTATTTATACCAGTTGATTCAATCCTATCAATCTCTATTACAAAGGTTAGGGCGTTTCTTATCTCCATTCCAGGGAGTAAAGATTATGTAGCTTAAGCATGATTGTTTGTAGTTAAAGTGATTAATTACCCACCTGGCACTAGTTAAGAGGTTTTATTCCCTCCCTAACTTCAGGGGAAAATCCCTACCTGGGGAAACAACCTTTCTCAGAGACCTTGGTTAAAAACACATAGTGCCAAGAAGGTGAGCAAACATATTAAGAACAGTATGCCATATATGCCAGGTCCTTTGAAACAGCAAGGATGGACCGGCTCCCGGCAGGCCACCATCCTGGTTGGGTTAATTTGCATATAGTCGCTCTGATTGGCTGGTGGGTGTGGCTTAAGGTGTAGCAAAGGTACGGTCAATTTGCATGTTTGTCTTTTATTAGATTAGATAATAAAGCATACATTTCTTAGCTTGAACAAGCCCCTCAAGATCTGATCTTAACTCATGTTCCAACATGTCCCATGATGGTCTTTATCATTCAGTCTCACCCAACTACTGACTTTTCCAACTGGCCATGTTCTTTCTTGCCTTTGTTCTGTACATTCTGTTCCTTTTGTCTTCCACCTGTTGAATTCACACCAGTTCTTCAAGACTCGTTCAAATGTCGCATTCTCTGTGAAGCCTCTGCCTGCCCTCCTTGGACCCAGGCTGCCCTTGAATCCCCAGGTCATGATAATTTACTTTTGGTTACATGGAGGAGAGGAGGGAGGGCTGCCACCACTTTCCATTCATTTTTGTAACAAATATTTACTAGGAATTTACTATTTACCAGCTGCTGTTTAACATTTATATTTAATGTTTAATTTGATTTATTTAATAGCAAGTTATAGTTTTGCTATTTACTACATGTATTTATTATAACTTTATATAAGCAGCTCTCAAATGCACATAAAACAATACATTTTTTGCTTTTGTATGTGGACTAACCTAATCTATTTTCTTTCTTCACTATTGCAAACATACAAGTAGTTTTATATTAATCTAAAAAAGATCATTAGCCCTAGCTGGTTTGGCACAGTGGATAGAGCATTGGCTTGCAGACTGAAGGGTCCCAGCTCTATTCTGGTCCAGGGAACGTGCCTGAGTTGTAGGCTCAATCCCCAGTAGGGGGCGTGCAGGAGGCAGCCTATCAGTGATTCTCTCTATTCATTGATGTTTCTATCTCCCTCTCCCTTCCTCTCTGAAATCAATAAAAATATATTTTAAAAAAGACCATTAAAACATCTTTTATTGGAAATGGAGAGAGAGGTCAGTGGTTACTTAGATGTGAAGGACAAAGGTTACTGGAGACAGTGGATGTCAAGGTTGAACAAAGTAACTTTCAATAAAAAGTAGAGTGAATAACTAGAGAAGTGAACATTAAAATATTTTAAATGTACTCTCTCCATTTTTACCAGTAATAACATTGTAATTAAGAAACACATATATTTCCCTAGCTTTAAGATATCTTATGTGTACATTTATATGCCTAGAATTATGTAAATATTTTGTATTTACAAACAATTATATGGCAAATTTTATTAAAGATAAAAAACTTATTCTGCTTTCAAAATTTCACTTTGAAACAATTTTAATCTAGAGAAAAGTAAAGAGAGTAATATAACAAGCACCTATGTGCTACCGAACAACAAATAAACATGTTATTAGCATCAGCCACTCACTGGGGTTTATAGTATGGAAAGTTACAAGGCAAGATGATATCTCATCTCATCCCTAAAAAATCCAGTGGACTCCAGAGGTTCTCAACCTCTGGGTCGCGACCCCTTTGGTGGTCGAACAACCCTTTCACAGGGGTCGCCTAAGACCATCCTGCATATCAGATATTTACATTACGATTCATAACAGTAGCAACATTACAGTTATGAAGTAGCAACGAAAATAATTTTATGGTTGGGTCACAACATGAAGAACTGTATTTAAAGGGCCAGAAGGTTGAGAACCACTGGTCTAGACACTTGAATGGGTTTAACAGCACTTTCTCAACAGAGATGCTTCTGGTCTAGGGCTGAGTTATTAGCTCTGGACCCCAATTCAAGTTGAAGTCCCTTTTCAAAGCTTAAGACAGATGCCTATCTTTGTAATGATTGTGATAAAAAATGTTATTCATGAAAGTGATAACTCTTTGGCAACAACTATAGTGAGTTCTGGCCCAGTCAGAGCTACTAGTTGAGCAGCTATTTTATTTTACTTTTTATTTTATTTTTACTGATTTCAGAAAGGACGGGAGAGGGAGAAAGATGGAAACATCAATGATAAGAGAGAATCATTGATTGGCTGCCTCCTGCCTACCCCACGCTGGAGATTGAGCCTGCAACCCTGGCTCCTGCCCTGACCTGGAATGGAACCATGACCTCCTGGTTCATAGGTCGAAGCTCAACCACTGAGTCGCGCTGGTCCGGCTTGAGCAGTTATTTTAGATAGAAAGTGCTTCTTCTGTTCCTGGATAGTCCCTAAAGGCCGCACTCCGGGAAATAACGTTTCCATTCCATGCAAGACTTGTTCATTCGTCACAGGTGATGTGATTCTTCCTTTAAGCAACATTAGTACTTGCCATTCTCTGAACCCAGCTGCTGGAAGGACCAGGTAAGGAGAAAGCCTTTGACAGAGAGGTCATGCCTTTCTCAGCGAGTAGTAGGGTTCAGGCCATACCACCCTGAACACATCCCATCTGGTCGTCAACAAGTGGAGCTAAAAAATGGGAAAGGTTTAAACACTCCCATCATCTTGGCTGTTTAGGCAAGATAATGCTCCTCAGTGGCAATCAGGCAGCACCCACCCCAAATCTCTACTGATTTCTCCGCCTTCAAGAGAGCACACGTTATCATTTTCAACACACACGACTCTCTTGCCACTTTGGATTGGAAATGAAATACGTATTGCGATTTCATTTTCACTTTAACAAATGTCCATTGTACCACTCAGAGGCATAAGATATGAGGAATCCGCAGGGGCCCCGTTAAATGGTTACATAACAAAATACGGTAAATGGGAGTGAATGAACCTCCAGGAAAGCGAGGCCTGGGATTCTGAGCTCTTGAGCACCCAGCAGGTCGGTCTCGACTCCTGTGATGCAATGGAGCCTGTCCCCAAGTCACGGAGAAGGGCCCTCACCAACCCCTCGCTTTGCCCCCGAGTGAGTTAGCCCCGGCCCAGGTTGTGCGTCACTGAACGGTGCGCTGGGGTCCCCTCTCCCAGGCCTGGGCTCGCAGGCGCATCGCTCACGTCTCCTGAGAGTAGGGATGGGGACAGCGGCTCTTTCCCCAGACAACACAGGGGAGCGTTCCCTGGCCTTTCTGGGTTGGTTGTGAAGAGCGCCAGCTGAGAGAAAGGGAGGGGCGGGGGGGGGGGGGAGGAGATGTAGGGAACTGGACTCCATTGCCCCGGCGAGCGGGCGCAGGTGAGGAAGCGAGCTCGGAGTTGAGCATCCGTCTGGACCGCAGCCGGTGCGGAAAGGCGGTCCCTCGGCCACCCGGCTCCCAGGGCGATCTGCGCTGTACCGGTGCAAAGCCTTCCTCCTCCAGGACGCCGGGGGGATCCCGAGCCTGCGGCCCCCGCCCCTGCAGCCCGGGTCCCCGCCCCGCCCCGCCCGCCCCGCCCCGGGCAGGAGGTTCCGCGGGAGCCGGCGGCGTGGCGGTGCCCAGGTCTCCCGCGGCCGGGAGGATGGCCAAGGTCCCGGAGCTGGAGGACGCCTTCCCGCAGGCACAGCCGTCGCCCCCACTTGCCGCTGAGCCCCGGGGCGAGTGCTGCGTGCCGCTCCTGAGCAAGGGCCTGCTCGGCTACCCCGGGGGGAGGGTGTACCTGGCGGCCGAGGCGCAGCCGGGAGGCGCGCTGGGCGGCGCGGAGAAGGAAGGCGACCCGGAGCTGCAGACCGGAGTTAAGTCAGGTGCGTGCCCGCTCCCTCGGGGGATGCAGTCGGGACCGGGATGAGGATGCAGTCTATGAAAGGCATCCGGTAACAGAAATAAACACACCGCAAACGCACAGATACGTAGCTTGTTCTGTTCGGATCTTTGTATTTCCCTCCAGGAAAATCTTTGTTAACTAGACAGGAAGGGACTTCCCGTAGGTCTTCCCGTTTGACGCACAGGCACCTTAGGAGACTTGATAATTTTATATTCTGATTTTCTGTATCGTCTTTCCAACTCGCGATCAGAAATGCATTTAAGCAACGGCAACTTTTCCTCTGAAGAGGAGGATTCGGACAGTCACGACAGCAAAGCCAAAGCAGCGGACGCACACCTGTCGCAGAAGAAAACCATCACGCAGATGATGAAGGATAAAAAGAAGCAGACACAGCTCACCCTGCAGTGGTAAGACTCGCCCCCAGGGGCACTTAAGCACCTGTTGCGTTTTCAAAGTCAGTATCTTCGGCATCTTTGCGTTTCGCATTCTGCCTCTCCCTCACACTCTTCCACTGGGCCAAACCAGTTAGGGCTCCCTCACACTCTTCCACTGGGCCAAACCAGTTAGGGCTCCCTCACACTCTTCCACTGGGCCAAACCAGTTAGGGCTCCCTCACACTCTTCCACTGGGCCAAACCAGTTAGGGCTCCCTCACACTCTTCCACTGGGCCAAACCAGTTAGGGCTCCCTCACACTCTTCCACTGGGCCAAACCAGTTAGGGCTCCCTCACACTTTTTGTGGGAAGCTTAAAAGACAAATGAGAAACGTACCCGATTTTCCCCCCCTGAGTGGCATAGAGACATATTTTGACACCCATGAAAAATGATCTGCAATACAAATAAAAACCACAGTCACTTTGTTCATTACTGGCTAAAACTAGAATTTATTCGAATGTAAGCAGTAATGAATGCCTTTATGACTTATTTGCTTAACATGAAATCAGTTTGCTCCTTATGTGTTTGTGATTTGGGAGCTTTGTGTTTGTAAAACACGACTCTTAAAAACAATTTGAAAGGATGAAGGATCTTAACATTGCCTTTGTCCGTAAGAGGGAAAATTAAACAAAGAAGGCAAATGAAAAACTATCTATGGACCATAAGATGAAATGCATTTGAATTAGAACACATGGAAAAATCAGTTAAGATATTGTGCTATAACTTAAATAAATGTTCAACTATTATTATAGCACTTGTCATATATGATTTATTATAGTGAAATATCACAAATTGGATTTTGTGGAAAATCTTTTAAAACCAGCAATTTATCAGTAGGCTTTCTCTATAAAGAACATTTTGTAATATTGATCTAAAAGAAAGATGATTTAAAGTAAAATATAATATTAAACTTCCTCTCACAGTGTGAAGAAATAGGAGTATAAATTTTCTCCCAAATTCCAAGTAATAAGCAAGTAAGTAAAAAAGTCTATTCACTGATTAGTTACATATTCTGTTTATATGTAAAGTATTATCTAAATCTTAGAAAAATACAAAAAAGTATAAAAAACTAGTAAAATTTCATTTTTATTTATTATAACACTGAATTACAGTCTCATATACTAAATTTTTATAATTGTATATTTGACCCCCTTGAAATATTCAAATATAAGCCAATAGTCTTCTAAAGTTATGGCTTAACTATTGAAGCTGATGTCACACTTACTGGTTAAGACCAGAGCAGTAAATAATTGAGCTGATAATCTGAAATATTTAGGACACAACTATTTTCATTAGGAGAATTGAGGCAAAAATGTTTTGATTTCAGATATATTATGGAAGTCTTTTGAATGATCACTTCCACGTTTTTTTCAGTTCAAATTGAGTGAATAGAAACAAACTTGGGTTTTTATTTTATAAATATGAATGCATTATGATTTTTAAAAAGTTATACTCCAAATTGTATTCATGTCTAGGATTACTCCGTAATTTGAAGACAAAAGCAATGCCTACAACAACATCAAAACAGCCAGGGGGAAAGTAGGCATCTTATGCATGTTATTAATATACAACTTTTAAATAGTTGAGTGTTTCTCAGTGATATTCATGTTTTTTTGTAACTATAAAATCCTGTCATTTTATTTAAATTTTCCACACCCTTACGCCAAAAATGTGTCATATATATATATATATATATATATATATATATATGAGTTATTTGTATTTTGAGAATTTTCCCCTTAAGTTTATAGATTATATTGGGGATGTTAAAAATTAGAACTGAAAGTGAAAGTGAAAAATCTGGCTGATTAACTCAGATTTTCATTGTCAACCAGGTGTTTGATTTTATGTATGCAAATCTTACTTTGTCTTCGGTTCTTATATTCCTTCTTTATAGCAAAATAGATGTCTGATGCTTTATCTGCTTGAGGAATATATCCTTTACCTTTTATCTCATGTACCTTGGGAATATGTAAATCAGAGATATTAAAAAGTTCCACCTAATTTTAATCTGAATGTATGCTCTATATTGCATTGTTCCCATATAGTAATAATTATGACTTTACTATACATAAAATGGGTAAGTTTTAGCCAAAATCACCTACTGAATTGTTAGAAAAACTAGAAATAGAATCTACAAGTTCTGATTTCTTGATTGTTCTTCAGATATTTGTAACCTTTAAATATATATCATTACATTTATATAAATTACATTTAATTGCAATTATAGGTGTCCAAATTAAATAGAATTATCTCTATATTGTCAAAGTTTATATTATTGTATTTATAATATAGAGATGAATTTGTCATATTTGTATGTATCTATAGAGAATTGCATAATGTTTCAAGTGTGCAGAATGTTTTAAGTAATTATAGTACTGCTCACAGCTAAAAGATGTGGGATAGAAATAGATCAGTACCATTTCAGAGTTGAGTGAAATGAGCTTATTCTTATGTATTTTCCAAATAAATGCATCACCATGCTTCCCTAACTATGCGGGGTTCAGAACTAATTTCTGAATGAAAGTATGGCATTTGCCATCCTGAAGCCTGGCAGCCCTTTAGCATTGATAACGTTCTTTTAAAAAACCATCATCTTCAACTTCACCATCAATATCTGTATATCACAGAGCAAACCCTGTTGAACAGTGAGGATTAATATAGAAGTAAGACCTATTCTTTGAGGTGTGGATCACGCAGGAGTGGTTTTATGTTAGCCCTTACACTATAACTGCACTAGCAGATGTTCATTGGGATTCTTGCTCTTCTGACATTAATCCTGTGATCTGATTTTGAATATCCTGAATAAAGGTAGTCTGCTTATGTCTACTCATGAACTCGTTTGCATAAAATCTCTATTCAAAATGGGCATCAAATCAATATGAAAGGGGAATGGAAAGAAGCAGTAAACAAAATGTTCAGTCTTACTTTTTGCTTTTTCCCTTAGGCTTGAAGAGAATTACATTGTATGTGAAGGAGTTTGCTTACCACGGTGCATCCTTTATGCACACTATTTAGATTTCTGCAGGAAAGAGAAATTGGAGCCAGCCTGTGCAGCCACCTTTGGAAAGGTAAGTGACACATATTGGCTATACTACCTTACAATTAAAGTTATGTCAGGCAGACGGCGTGGGAACAAATTCATCTGAACAAGTTTTCATACAGAATATTAAGAAATTTGTTTCTCATGCATAAACAAAGTATCTGAAGAGCTGTCTCTGGAACTACTACATATTTTACTTTGACTTTACATATTGTATGTTTTACCTTGCACTATATGTTTTACCTTGCACTATATGTTTTACCTTGCACTATATGTTTTACCTTGCACTATATGTTTTACCTTGCACTACTATATATTTGAGAATTAGAACCCTGGCTATCAGAAGACTTAACTCGATCTTAAAGCAAACTCCAGTTGAGCAGTGACATTGCCCTTCTGTGAGGGAAATATTAAAGAGTGTGGTCTGGCCTGTATGGAGAAGCAAAATCAAGTAGAAGTGACAAGTATCTTGCCAACGCAATTGGTGATTATGTTTATTATCTAGCTATTCTGAGTATATGAGTTTTCAATACATTTTTATTCTATTACATAAATAGTTCTCTTAATTCTCCATTTCACTCTGAGTATGTTTACACCTCAAACTCCAAGGTGTGATGGAACGGGTTAAATTTCTCTCATTTATAAACATTTCTTTCGACCCAAACTGTATGATGAGAATGAGACTCTGTAGAACTGACATTACTATATTTCTATATGTTGATCTCATTTTGAGAATAAGGAAACGCTGTCAATATCTTGGGGAAGTCTTGTTCTTTGAAATTCTTCTCATGCTCTATTGTCTAAGAGCCTAGGAAATCCCAGAAAAAAGCTGTAGGAAGCTTAGCTAAGGCTCAAACATTGCATCTTATATAAACTGAAATCCAAATTCTATCCTGTAGAGGGACTCGTTGTCCAGAAAATAATGAATACTATGGTCCAGCTTCTCCATTTGAAAAAATAAAATGGTTTATTACCTTATTTTAAAAATCTGTTTATGAGGGATAGTATGATATGGTGCATGTGATCCAGTGATTTAGGTTTTAGCCTAGACTGTGAATAATTTGTTGTGAGACCTTCTGAAAAGTAATTAACTTTTTAAAAATTCAGTTCCCTCTTTCTATAACATAAGGAGGATGAATAAGACAACTTTTAATGTCCATTTTAGCATTATTATTTCATGAATCCACCTTATGGCAGTAGTTTTTAGTTTGGGGAGTCATGAAACACCTTGAGAATCTGGTTAAAAACTACAAAACCATTTCCCAAGAAATTAACACAGACATAAACTTTGCCATGGAGTCCTTCAGAGATCAAGTATGGATCTCCTATAATCCAGATTAAAACTCCGGCTTTATGTAGAAGAGATTTTTGTTCTTTAATCAGATGCTAATTTTTAAAGTGAATTTAGAGACAGAAACACAAAGAAAAAGTTAAAACACTGCTGTGGAGATTCAGTCACGCAGAAAAGATTTCATGTATTTCTTTGGGGTTGGAGATGGTATTTAATTATTGGTAAACCTATTGGTTTCTTTATTATGAGAAACCTAAATCTTTCCACTAAGTAGATAAAATAATAATTGCCTTGGTAGTAACATCAAGTAAAAGCACATATTGGTATGATCTGCCTTGGAAATTGATATAATTTCCAAATAGAACAATCTCATAAAAGAAGTCCCTTCCTGCCTCTGCTTATGTATTATTGCTTATCAATGTGTGTATGATATTCCTTTTCCAGACTAAATATTTACTTGAAGTTCAAGATTTACTTTTTAGAATTAGTTATGGGTGACTTGCAATAGAACCACACACTTTCTGAAAACTAAAGTAATTGACTTTCATTTTAGACAATTCGCCAGAAATTTCCCCTCTTAACGACAAGACGGCTTGGAACAAGAGGCCATTCAAAGTAAGACACATCAATAAACACATATCACACCTGTACATAGGATACCTTGTGCATGATGATTGACACGATGTAAAATAAGTATTGTCTTTACTGGTGCATAGAACCAGGTATTTTCTTCTTGATGAGACAGACTTTTAACAACTGTCAGAAGTAAAAAGTCATAAGACATTGGGGGATAGGGGAGGCTAGGGGACTGTCTAGGGCGGGGGGATAAAATGGACACATATGTAATACCCTTTGTAATACTTTAAGCAATAAATTAAAAAAAAAGAAGTAAAAAGAAAAATAAATGAGTTTTAGGATGTTTACTTAAAAAGCAAAATTTACAAAGAAACCATAATATTTTTTCTGATGGGAACATTTAAATGAATCATTTTCATAATTTTAAAGCCACCCTTGAAGCACCGGGGTCAGCACAGGAAAGTGCTTGTAGCTCAGTAAGTGACCCAATGGGACCCATGCTTCTAAAGGGCAGAGCCGAAGCCGGGCTGGAAGCATGGCTCAGGTTCTTCCTCTGGTTTTCTTTCCGATAATCATTTCTCAGAGTCCCTTCTTACCCCTTGAAGACAAAGAGCATGCCCAAATGACCTGTTGGTCATCTCTAGTGTATACATAGGCACATAAAATGAGGTGTCCTAGAGTCCTTCTCTGGTAACTTTAGCTATTTTTTCTCTTGTGGCAATTTTTGTAGAACCCACAGTTATAGGTTCTTGTCTATCAGTTATTTACTCTTTTCAGTTTTTAGTTTTTCCTTTCCTTCTGCCTAAAAACATATCCAGATCTCTTTTATGTTGATAAAAATAAAAAAAATCGCAAGCCTACTATACCACTCTTCCTAATTACTGTTATTCTTTTTATCTTTGCTAGTTCCTTTTTTAAAAAATATTTTAAATTCTCACCTGAGGTTATGTTCTTATTGACCTTTTTAGAGAGAGAGAGGGAGGAAGAGGGAAAGAGACAGAAACACTGATTATGTGTCTGGACAGGGGATAGAACCCACGACCATTTGGTGCACAGGACTACACCCCAGCCAACTGAGCCGCACCAACTGAACCACACTGGCCAGGACTCTTTGCTGTTTCTTGGAAGAGTAGCTATCTGCTCACTTCCCCTAGTGTGAATCACTTCTCTGTTCTAGTCCATTTCTTTACTAGCATTTGGGCATTAAACCCAATGGCTTACTTTTTACCATTACTCATTGTCCTTGGCACCTGGAAATACATACATAAATACATACATAAAACTTCCTCGATGGTTTCTGTCACAGCCCTGCCAGGTCCTCTTCTTCCCCCTACCTCATTTTCTGGCGCACTGGCATCTCTTTCTGCCCTAACATCTAATTCAGCACTGTCCAATTAAATATAATGCAGCTGCATAGCTTTAAAAAATTGTAGCAGCCACATTAAAAAAGAACACATAGAATTGATTTTAATGTTTTAATCTAACATGTCCAGAACATTTGATTACCATGTGATCAAAATAAAAATCATTAATGACATATTTTATGTTCTTTTTTTTTCTATTAAGTTTTTGAGATCCAGTGTGTATTTGACATTTACAGCACATCTCAACTCAGACTAATCCCATTGCAAGCAGTCAATACCCACATGTGACTGGTGGCAACCCTATTGTCTAACTCCGTCTTAGTCCCTTGCCAAAAAAAGAGGTCCTATTTTTGGACTTCTCTTGAATCTCTCTTGGTTCTCACTTTAATAACCTGGTCTTGACTCAGTTCTTCCAGTCTGTTCAATACAATTTTTTTCTAAATTGACCTAATGTTCAGATTCAATCATGCCTCTCTCGTGCTCAGAAACTTTCAACAGCTCGTCATTTCTACTATGAAAGACAAATTTTTCTCACTTTGACATTAAAGGTCCATTATGAATTAGTCCCAATCCATTTTCCTATTTTATAATCTAGTTCTCATTTCTCAGCATGTAGCCTGTGCTTTCCCCAAATTATTGTCCTACTACCCATTGCTTCACCCTCAACTGTCTCTTCTTTGTTTAGCCTGTCTTCCTCCATTGAAATGACCTATTCCCTAGGGGCATATTGAAATATTATCCATTTAAAGGCATGTCCCATGAACTTCCTCTTCTTCAGGATCTTTTCTTAGCCTTTTGATTTGTTGTAGATTCTTTCTTTGTATCTCATAGCAATCTGTTGGAACATATCTTAATGTGAAATTAACTTATTTCTTAACCTCAACAGATAATATTTTGAGGATAGAGACTTTGTCTCATTTATACTCATATTTTATCTGTTGTCTAATACATAATAGATTATCAATTAGTATTCATCTAATTGATTCCAATTAATGTTAACAGTATCATGGCCTGAGAAGGAGAAATAAATGTCGGGTTGAAAGATATGTTAGCTTTTTCCTTCTGACCAAGTAAGCTTTTATTTAAAGTTGACACAATTTATCTGGCTGATTTCTATTGAATTTGATTTCTACTGAATTGTGTGTGGAGGAAAGATCAGTTTGTGTTTGAAGTAGATAGATAATAAAAAAGAGGCAAAACGATGCTGAGAAATCCTCTTTCTAGGGCCTACAGAGGGCAGGCAGGCAGGCTGCAGAGAGTCAATTAATCCTGGAAGGAGCCTTTAGGATTAGGGATGAATCATTAACCCTGTCCTTTGTGACACACGGAGACTCCAGTGTTTAGGTTTATGTAACGATACATGGTGACTTCAGGCAATTTGTTTGATATCTAAGAGCAGACATGTCCAAGAACAAAGCATTAGCAATTTGAATTTTCTTCTACCTTCCTGATATGCCATTTGCTTGTTATAACTTGCTATTATATGTTTGGTATTTTGATATCATGGGAAAATGAAATTTTCCATATGTAAACTAAGGATGTTAAAAGATATGGCAAAATGTAGAGTTTGTGTAACTTGTAATTGGTAATGTTTCGATGTAATTATGCTTAGCCATGTAGTGTTCTTGTTTTTATATATTTCTAAGAATATATAAAATATTCTATTTTAATTTTAGGAGATGGTACATATGAAAAGGCAGCATTTCTTAGTGGTTAGGAGCATGAGGTTTAAAGTTGGACAAATCTAAGCTTTTGTTTCATACTTTCATATAAAGCTGTATAACTTTAGATGAAGTGTTCAGGTTTTCATCAGTAAAGTAAGTATAAAATATCTACCTCATAGGTTTCTTTTGAAAATTAAATAAAGTATAGGAATGAAGAAATGAATATGTTTTGAACCTTTTTATTCTTAATGATATGAAATTAATAACTCAATGTTTCATAATATCAGCAATGCAGTTAAAGTTATTATTTATTGAGCAACACACATACAGTAATCCTTACAATGACAATACAAGATTGGAATTCCTGTGTTTTACAAATCAGGAAACTGCAGTTAAGATTATTGACTTGCTCAAGCCCACACAGATACTATAAAATAACAATATTGGCATGGAAGTCAAGGTTTATTTGGCTCTACAGCTTAAGCTTTGTCAACTAGTAAAGCCTACCTCTTTCTGATATCAATCATATCAAGAAAACAATTGTTTAATTGAACTTTTGTTTTTTTGAAGTTTTTTTATGATCTAAGTTTTAAAATTTTATTTTTTATTGGACTTTTATTATTTTTATTGGATTCTTTCTCAAAGAGCTAACATTTTCTCAAGCTTCAATCATAAGGCATTTTTAACTATTTTATGTTTATTGAAATATATTTACATTTTATGTAAAAGCAAATTTGTAGTACAAACACAATTTTGCTTTCTGCTTTTAATTTTGTCCTAAACATTCCTATATGTTGATATAGTATCTTTACAATCATCATTTCTAATGGCTGTTTAATATTTTAAAAATTTATATTTTATGAAAGATATTTTTATGTCTCTAGAAATATGAACAAATGATGATCCAGAAATATAAATGAAGATGTAAACATATTTTGGAAAAACAGGAATTTATAATTTCTCCCAATTTTACTAGTAATTTTGTAAAATTTATTTTATGGTAGTATTTAGCATAATGCCCTAAATATATTATTCCTGAATATTTATTTATATTATTTCAAAATATAAGTAAGTTGGGTATTAATTTATTTGAACCTTTGTGGATTACATATTAGAATATATTAATGATGGTCATTTAAAAATATGTTCTCAATTTTTTACAAATTCTTATAGAATATGCTATAGTATATCCAATTATTTCATTTGGGTCTGTCAGACATAATTTATTTTAGATGATGATTAACCTAAAAGATTCTTCTGTATTTTGGGCACAAGATGAACCACTTCTAAAACTGTCCTTACGTGCTTTTAGGGTCCATGGAACAATGTCACTTTCCAGATTTTACTGGTCCATGTATGAAATCCAAAAGTCTGGGAAACACTGATATATGGTGACAAAGTGATGGTTAATAGAGTTGAAAAAATAGGAGCGAATTCGGTGTTTATTTTCAAGTTCTATTTTTCTAAATTCTGACATAACTGTGTTATAGAATGGTTAATCCTGCCCTAGCTGGTTTGGCTCAGTGGATAGAGCACTGGCCTGTGGACAGAAGGGTTCAGGGTCCAATCCCAGTCAAGGGCAAGTACCTCGGTTGCAGGCTCCTCCCCTGCCCCTGCCCTGGTCAGGGCACGTGCAGGCAACCAATGGATATATTTCTCTCTGTCTTTCCTTCTCTCTTCAACTCTAACAAAAACAACAACAAAAATCAATGGAAAAATATCCTCAGGTGAGGATTAAAATAATAAAAAAAGGTTAGTCCTCACAACTCATCTCTTTCCCTCATCAAAAGTTAAAAGATATGAACAGTTTAACTAAATAAAATGAGTCAAAAATTATCCAACCAAAATAAAGAGAGGAAATATTTTTTTAAAAAACCAGATACGTTAAAAACAACAACAAAAACAAATGGACAGAATCACTATGTGGAGCCCACTGTCAAAATTAGGAACAATTGAAATTGATTCCAGTGCCAGTCAATGTTCCTCATAAGAAGCCATTGCTGCCAAAGGTTATGAAAAAGGGTCTCTAACGATTAGCACTCTGGGTCAGAAAGCCTCACCCTGGCCTAGCGCATCTGACCTAAGTGTGTTTTTAGGACAAAGCCAGTCTAGCTGCAGGCAACATTAGCGTCTCAGCTCTCCATCCCTTCCTTCACTCTCGCCATCACCCTTCCTGCCAAGAAAACCAATATCCCCAATTGATTCTTCCCATTCTCAACACTCAGATAAAAACTGACTTTGCTTTTGGGCTTTTTCTTCTTTTCTCTTTGATTTGCAACTGATGCCAAAAATATATACTGATTATTTTTCTTTGGAATCTTTTTAAATTTAGATTTCTAATAAATAAAACAACGTTCTATAGGTACAAAAGAGTAATGAAAAGTATTGCTTATTTTATGTATAAGTGTGTTATATCAAGAATGAGCAATCATTCTTATTTATATTGATATATAAAGCATGGTGTTAAAAAAGAGTTTTTGAGATTCAAAGAATAGTAAAATAGAATACATGGTGTCAAAAAACATCCACTATTAATATTTATTTACGTAATAAGCATTTTACTGAGTGTCCTGAAGCTGACTAAACCTAGGGATACAGTTCTGAGTAAAAAGAGCCTATATCCCACCCTTGCTCAGAATAACTCAGAGGAGTAAGGGAGAACACAGTTGAGTAGATTTCATGCAAAGGTAGATTTGATTTGAAGTTACATTTTAATTTCTTATAGACTTTGATCAGTTGAATCTTGGTTTTCAGACATGATGGACAAAAGCTATTATCTTATTTATTAGCGGTGATTTAGTGGGTTAATAAAACTGATATGGCAGCTGCTCTTATCATAGTAAGTTATTGCAAGTCCCTGAACAGCTTAATCCCATCATTTCCTTATCAGTTATCATTTGTGTAGTGTAAACGAACATCAGGGCTACTTGCTCAGTGGGAACATATGTTTCAGGAATTCTATATAATGACTGAAATGGAAAAGAAGAAATACAGGTGTAGGTATAAATAGATCAGCAAATGAAGAAAAGTATTAGATGCAATGTAAATATTTTAGTAGTAAAAAAGAGCAGCAATAATTGCATTTGTCCTATTAAAATATTGTATATTTTATAACATTAACTTTAAAATGTAGACATAAAAACTAATGAATAATTATTTATTTCTAATATAAGTCTAAGGACAGTTGATGCTAATGAATGAGTACAATTTTGTTAGTTCACAAAGACTACTTGGGTTATGAAAACATTTTCTTAAAGGAATTAGCTAATCATACCCAGGATTTTAGAGCATTTATTATTTATCTTCTTTATTAAAAATTGATAAAAACATTTAGAGAAAGAACTATGGAATGTTTTGGAATCTTTATTCAGAGTAACCTATAGAATAGGCATCAGGTAGTGGTATATAAATTAAAACAGTGAAAACTTCACCTTTTTATTTAACGTGCACCAGCATATGTTTTTGTTATGCTAGAATATTTCTGGCACATATTTCCTAGCAAGTTTATTTTAGGGAAAAGTATTAACAACAAAATAGTGCTAAAAAATGTTGCAAATGAGAGGAAAAATCCATGTAAACGTTGCATGAAATGGCTCTTCCCACTTTTATGAGGTTTGCTTTTAGCTGCGAGGACAGAGAGCTGCTCATTTGTTATCTCTTCTCTGTTCTCAAAGACACTGACTCATCACTCGGTTCATAACATATACCTAGTTAGACTAAAAGGAAGCTTAAAGGAGGAAAATTGTATTATCGGCTCCAGAAAAAAACTGGATATGAAACGTGCTGAAGTTTTACAATGGTCATTGCAAAAGAGATATTTATATTCCTAATGACATTCTTCCCACCTAAATACACTGATTCCATGCCCTTTAAACACTTTGTTAGGTATACAACATTTGTTCAACCCCAGTATTTTACTGGTGAACTGGAAATACACAGTGCTAGGAGGACGTTGTTGAAAACTATTGGCTGTAAGATAATTTGTGTCTTATCAGTTTCTAAATTTTTAGCAAGGTGCATTGATTCATCAATAAATGAGATTTTTTTTCTTTACAGTAATGTCTAATGGGAACACAATGAAAGGAAAGATACAATTATCTTCCTCCAAATCTTATACTCTAGTAGGGGAGGTAAGCCATGTATACACATACCAATGGTATGAAGTATAAAGCTTTAAGAGATAAAGATGACCATAAGAGGAGTTCAAAGGAAAGAGAAATTAGCTTTACTAGAGATCAGGCAAAGCTTCATGCATTAATGCCATGCCTTGAGGCATGGATAAGAAATGAGGCACGAAGGAAGAATATTGCCAGTGGGGAGAGAGCTCAGCAAAGTAAAGGCCCCAAGGTAGGAAAGCACAAGTGATCTATGGAGAACAAGTGATTCTGATAGTAATACATAGGTAACACATTCTGTGACTCCTATTTCCATTGATTCATGACATAGTACCCGCCCCCCCCCATCATTGCAGAAAAGTCTGAAGTGAAAATGATAGTGAATTGGGCTTCTCATTCCACATGAGAAACAACTTTTAAAGGGTCACATGCTTTATACATATTCCTATGTATGATATCAATGTCTTCCTCACATGTAATGTCATACTGTTTTCTTCATCTAACAGATACACTACAAAGGAAACCTACCATTTTTTATTCAATTGATTAAATTTAAACTGAATAGAGCCATTTGCAAATAGATACATTCTATATACTTAGAGCCAATGCATACATTTACAAATTTAAGTGCCTACAATTACTTTGTTTTTTAGCTTTGAAACCTAACTTTTTAAAGGTTTGAAGGAATTGGCGGTAGGTGATTTTTCTGTCGTTATCAAGTAAAGAGCCAAAAGTACATTTTAAATATATTTTAAACAAGCAGGATTAGTTACCATCAAAGAGGGATTTAGCATATTAATATGTTGCTTGAAAAAGAACCAGGAAAGGAAAGTGCTCAATGGGTTTCAGTTCTTACTTGAGCTTTATTTCAATTATACTTCAGTATCCTTTTTCCTTTCATAAACTCCGACAGTAACACACGGCTGGTTCCTGTCCTTGTTCTAGGTATCATTATTATGGGATTGGCATCAAAGAAAGCAGTGCATATTACCACTCCGTTTACTCTGGAAAAGGCCTGACCAGGTAGAGTTCTAATATCTTCAAACTAATTCTCTGCCTTTCTTTAAATATGCATATCTATTGAATAGAATGACTTACTAATTTTACTTATAAAAATGTTTTATTTTAAGCATCAGACCTTAATTACAACTTCGAATGGACATTTCTGTGATATGGTCTAGATTACTGAACAATTTTTATAAATCACATCATTAATGACAAATTAATGGTGAAACAGGTGTTTCAGAGAGATGAACAAAAAAAAATCAGGGAAGCAGAATGGCTTTTAAATTAGTATTTAGTCATAAGGCTGAATCTGTTTTCAGGCTGGATTCAGTAAAAATAAAGACAGAAAAAAACATTGTGTGTTTTTCTTTTGCTAAGAGACAGCCTGTTTAAATATCGATGTGCTTGACCAGTATCTTACACAGATGAAAAGTTTATTACAATTGTCTCTAATCACATATGTCCTGACTACCAGCTTACCTTTCTAAGATAAAACTGTTGACCTTTTTGAGTCTCTGTGAAAGGAAAAACACAAATGAATGTAAAGAACACATTTGCTCTGATCTACCATTAACTCCCAGGAGGAGGTAATTCACAAGTGAAATGACATTCAGTGAAACCTATGATATATACAATTATTATTTTTTAAATTCTAGTGCTCAGAATAATTAAATCTACATCTGAGATTGCCTTGGTGACTTATCAATAATTGCTCTTAGCTCTCAAAGAATGAATTATTTTAAAAGTAAAGTGTCCTGTGGAAAAAAATAAATGTGGTCACCTGAGTCTTGCTAAGATGAACTCAAATATTACCAAGGGCATAATGGAGGCTTACTAGCCACTACCTACCCATTTTAAACTGCAGTTATAGCCAGAATGCACACAAATATTTAATATCAAGTATTTTTTGCTTGCCTCAAATTTTACTAGACATCCACACATATTTTTAATTTTACTTTTCCTTAGTAGAATTATTTTTTATTATGTTGAAAAATATGTTTGGATCTCTTTGAATATCTAATACATTTCTCCAGATTTATTTCACTAATCATAGTATGCTATTTTGTAGGTTTTCTGCATTTTCTTGATAACTATAACTGTATATGTATATTTTTAACTAATGGAAAATATACTGATTTTTTAGGTTTTCTGGAAGCAAGCTTAAGAATGAGGTAAGATTATTTTCATTTCTTCTGTTTTACATCTGCTATACTATATTGCAAACTGATCAATAAATGTTAATCACCCTTGTTGGCAAATATAGAAATAAATGTTACTTATTAGAAGCTTCTTGAATGACAGAAGTCGTCAGACAGAGCTAAGTTATACTTGGGGCAGCTAATGGTTCTTTGCATGGACCTACTGAACAACTTCCAATTAACCTAGGAGAGGTGATTTTTTAATTATCCATACCGCACATCAGATGTTTAAGCTATTGTAAAAAGAGACCATTACTGATCAAAGAAATTTCCACTTAAGAGTAAACAGAAAGCCCAATGCTAAGGATATGGAAAGAATTGCTATTTGGAATATACCTGTTTAGATACAACCTTTAATAGTTATCAAGAAGCCCAAATGTTATGTTATGGTTTGTTTCAATATTATGGGTCGCGAACAATGAAAATACATCCTGCATATCAGATATTTACATTACGATTCATAACAGTAGCAAAATTACAGTTATGAAGTAGCAATGAAAATAATTTTATGGTTGGGGGTCATCACAACATGAGGAAGTGTATTAAAGGGTCGCGGCATTAGGAAGGTTGAGAACCACTGTTAGTCACTCTGCTGACCACTTCTTCAATGAGGGGGATTGTGGGTGGTGGAGGTGGGAGCTAGGGAGAAAGGGCACATTATACCACCCCCCCTCACTTTATCCCTAGACTACCAGCCCCCAAACAAACCACAGATCAGCAAACTGACTTTATCTAAATGAGTTAGACTGCCATTAGGGATTGCATGGCTAATTAAGCACATGATAAGGCCTTCATTATCACGTTAACTAAAAAAGAGGTGCTGCTGAACTAGGGCACATGACCCTGAGTTGGGTGGTAAATCTGGACCTGAGGCCAATTGTAGCTCCATTAGTTTGGTGAAATGATGCAAGCATATTATCGTAAGAAAAAAATATAAAGCCCCAATCTTCTGAAATGACCAAGTTCTTCCCACCAGTGTTCTTAATGCAGTTAATGGCTAGTTATATAATAAAATTCTCGAAATTGCTCTCTTTGTCAATGAAATAATAGCTCTTTATTAGATGAGCAATTGTGAAAGTGCAAGCATATTGACTTAGGAATATACTTCACTTGACTGAAGTTTATGTCAACAGGGAATTTAAGTAACTTCTCTGAGGTGTTTTTTCTACCACTTTGGTAGAGCTGGTGTACTAGCAAACTGCCAGCTGATGTAGCATGTGTATGGCAGCCCTTGCTTTATAGAGTAATAGAAAAATGTATCTCAAGTCTTCTGTTTCATCCTCAGAAGGGTACATGACACATTCAGGTGTAGATTTTGTCGATAAAGTGAAAATAAGTGATTTTGGTTAGGCTATAAAGCCTATTTTTCTAAAGATACCTGAAGCAATAATAGAGTGCCATTATGATAATGATTATAGAAATGAACACCATTAAGGATTTTCTAAAGGCTCAGAACTACTCTAGATACTTAAAAAAAATAATAAAGTATTTGTTTAACAAAATTGAAATTAAAAAAATATTTTGTACGTAAGGTGACCATCATAGTTTGCTCAGGACCCAGACTTTCAATGTAAGTCGTTTGAACATTTATACTTATTAATGTTCATATTTCTGGTCATTTGAACATGAATAACTCTGAGGTAGGGAAAATGTTAACATTACTAGTTTACAACTGAGGAAATTGAGGCTAAGAGATACATCTGCTTTCTAAAATAGTCTCAGTAAAGTTCTATTTTTTAAAACCCACAGTCAAGATATTAATAGATATATGGAGTTAAAGGTGCTAGGGGACAAAATAGTGAGTGGATAGATTTGACCCTTTACATTGTAGCAGGAAAATATATCTTAAGTGATTATAAAGGGTGTCATGGTAGTTAACCTAGTTGAAGTGGTTAAGGACATTTCCCATAGGAAGTGACATTTAAGGAAATAACTGAGAAAGAAGTGGGAATTTGGAGGAGGAGTGCAGTAGGGGAAGAGAGTGGAAAAGTGGTCAAGACAGTTGGAACAGCACAGATTAGAGTTTCTCAGACTTGGTATTTATTTACATTTGGGGCCAAATAATTCTGTGTTGTGGGGATGTCCTGTGATCTGTAGGATGTTTAGCAGCATCACAGTGTTAGGACAAGAAAGAGGACTTAGATATTTAGTTTAATAGAGACGGAAGCCATGGTAATGGATAGAAATGTCTAGAAATAAATAAATGAGAGGAGAAGAGATTACAAGAAGAGTTGTGAAAAGTGAGGTAAAAGAAAAAGTCAGCAAGACAACTGAAGAAAATTTAGAGAGCTAAGAGGAAGAGAATATTGTGGCAGAGAGCTGAGAGAAAAAAAATTGCTTCCAATAAAAGGGAATGGTTACTACTATGAAATGGTGCTAAAAAGTCATCAAGATACAGACTGGAAAATATCAATGGGACTAGTTAAGTGGAGATAATTAGTAACTTCAGGGAGAGCATTTTCAGTGGAGAGCTGGGTTTGATTTGTTTATAAAATGAGGGGGAAGCCTGAGCAGCATGGCTCAGCGGTTCAGCATTGACCTATGAACCAGGAGATCATGGTTCTGTTCCCGGTCAGGGCACATGCCCAGGTTGTGGGCTCAGTCCCGCATGAGGGACATGCAGGAGGCAGCCAATCAATGATTCTCACTCATCATTGATGTTTCTCTCTCTCTCTATCTCTCCCTTCATTTCTGAAATCAATGAAAATATACTTTTAAAAATGAGTGAGAAGTGGTATGTTGGATGTAGAAAATTTAGTTATGTTGAGGGTGATACTTGGGGAAGGACTTGAAATTTAGTTTTGAAGAACGATTAGACAATCATTCTAATGTTGGTAAAACACTTCTGGTAAGAGTAGAGACCGTAGCTATGAAAGACAGGGAAGGGAAAGTTGAGAGCACAAGGTCACTGAAGGGGGGCATGGAGGAGCTTCAGAGTGGAGGAAGTGGCCCTGGAGAAGGAACACCTCTTTCATTAAAACTGGAAGGTGGAAAGGGTAAGTTCAGATGCAAGTAGATTTGCAGATTTTGTGGCAGAAATTGAGGTAGCTTGGTGGCTTCAGGCTTCTCTTTGAGGAATTAGTCAGTGGTCAGTTAGGTCATCTGCAGTGAGTGAAAATAATAGGCAAAAAAGAGTTTGAAGAGTTTAAAGAAAGTCCCAGATCTTCCCAATTAGGATGCCCAGAGGGAATGTAGCCCTAAGGCATTCATTGTATGTAAGGAATGAACTCTTTCATGCTTATGGAATCTAGCTAAATGCAGATTAAAGAAGAGCATCGCAGAAAATTCTATAGAACAGTACTGTTTTGGAATATGTAAAGTATTCAACTCAAAAATAATAAGACAACTCAATATAAATAAAGTATGTGAACAGGCAGGTCCCACAAGATAAAAAGAATGACTACTGCATAATGTGTTGTTCATAGTGCCCATTCTGACTGATCAGGGTCCATAACGTATGGTCCATAATATTTTGGATACCATTTCTGCCAATAAACATATGAAAAGTGCTCAATTTAAACTTTTAATTAGAGAAATGCAAATTAAAACTGTGAGTAATTATTTAACTATTATTGGAATAATAGCAATTAAAAAGTCTAAAAATACAGCTTTGAGAATGTGGAGGAAAGGAGCTCTCATAAACAGTAATAGGGATAATAAGTAGTAAAATTGAAGGTGCACACACCTTACAACTGTTTTCCTAGAGTAACCTTCACACTGCGCACAAGGAGGCATGTCTGAGGATGTTCATAAAAGTATTGTTTACAATCTCAGAATATTAAAAAATGAATGTCAATTATAATATAATGGGGAAACATGTTTTATATATATTTATATGAGAGAGTGCTATACTTCTTTGGAAATGAGTGAACTATAGCTGTAAGAGCCAAATTAGATTAATTTTAAAAACTAAAGTTGAGTGAAAAAAGCTTATTGAACTTAGAAGGATACATACTTTATTGTACCATTTTTAACGTAATCGTACCTATTGCTTAAGAATATTTACATATGAAGTAAATAGAGGTTTGAATAGGAATGATAATAACCAAATCCAGAACAATAATTATTTCTTTGACGAAGGAAGGGAAAGAGATTAGAGAGAACTACAGAAGCTGCTTTAACATTTCAAATGTCTAATGTCTTAATCAAGGTAGTGAGTACATGGGTATTTATTAATCTTTATCTATACTTTAAAAAAAGTTTTAAATAGTTCTTAGTATAAAAGCAAACAAAATCAACAAAAACAAAACAAAAAGGAAAGAGGATGGTAAGAATAATTGTCAGTCAGTGGTATGAATTTTGATAGTCTTAAGTTTTTATTCATAAATATAGTGCTTCAAATTTTATTGTGTTTTAACTAGCTAAAGTACTGATTTGCCATTATTTCTTAAGGAAAAAGTACCTTGATTTCATACATTTCAACCAGGAAGTTTCCCTGATAGCTTGAGTTTCCTTCTCCTTAACATCAACTATTCATGGCCAGTTCAACAACTTTGTACCAAGATAAATAACAAATCCTCCCTTCTTGGTATATGCTCTTCAAATATTTGTAGAGTGTTATCATGCTCTCTTTTAGTCATCACTTAGCCAAACTGTGTAGCTGAATTCCTTTAATCTTTCCTCATAAATCAGACCCTCTTGCCTTCTAATCATATGGTTTCTTTTCTGTAGGTTCCTTCTTATTTTCTTTTGGAAATAAGATTTTAAAAATAGTTTACTCAAGAGTACTGAAGTCATCAGTTGACAAAAAAAAAAATTCAGATCTCTGTAGCTGGCTTATGACCTGGCACCTTTTAGTACCGTTAAAATAGCAAACACATTCCTGGAATCAAAATTATTATATTTTACTTTTTATTCCAATTTATCAATCCCTCTTTTTTCTGTTCCATGTTCTGGACAGATATTATTTGATTTTATAACAACTTTGACACAATTGTTAACAGATTCATACCAATTAAGTTTTAAAACCTTTCCCTTGAGCACTCTTTTTAAAAAAACACACAAAAAAATACTTTACAATTGGACATATTACATATGTCCCCTTTTACCCCCCATTGCACTCTTGATATTACACACAATCAGTAGCTTCGAGTACACAAAACTATTATTTATCAACATGAGGGCTTTAAATAAATATTAAAATAAAACATATATTTTGTTCTTTAATATATGTTTCTTTAACACTCTAAAATTTTTATTGGGAAATGTAATATTATTTGTAACACACACGCACACGCACACACACACACACACAATTTTAAAAATAATCATAAGATTAAAAACTGACGATGTACCTCATAGCTTAAAAGAGAGAAGTCCTCTGTGTGCCCCACCCCAATCATTTCCCTCCCCCTGCCACCAAAAGCTTCTGCTCTCCAGAATTTGGTCTTAATCACTCCTTTGTTTTTCCTTAAAGTTTACCACTATGAATGAATACCTAAACATGTGGTGATAATTGCATAACAATCTGAATGTACTTAATACTGTTGAATTGTATACTTAAAAATGATTAAGATAGTAAATTTTATTTATTGTTTATTATTGCCCAGCTTATTATCACCAATGTATTGTTTATTATTTTCCCTACATAGAAATGGATTCATTTTTTTTTCTGTGGCTTTCTGGTTTCAGTCCACATTAGGTTTTGTGATTCATCAATGTTAATACATGTAGTTCTAGTACCTTTATTTGTACTGCTGTATAGTATTACGTTGTATAAAAATATCATATCACAATGCATTTATTTATTCCATTGTTGGTGGAAATTTTTGCTTGAAAAACAGTATTTCTATGAATATTTTTCAAGTGCATATGTGCAGGAGTGAAATTCTGTGTTGTAAATAACTTCTCCCTGTTGGTGGCATAACAGCATTCTATAGTATCTTTTGATGAAAGTAATTTAAAAATTCTATGCTTAGTGGGGTTTTTTGTATATTGTGTGTTAAAATCTGTGTATATTCCAGATCATAAAAATATTTTTCTACATATTATTCTAAAAGTATAAAGTTACTCTTAACATTTAATTATTTCATCTGTAATTGTTGCACAATGATGACCATTATCCGCTTCCATAACTAAAGGTTAACAAGGCTAAAATCCAAAATCGGATAGAGATGTGTTTTCCCCAAGAGATTCTAAAGAACAAATATCTGAGGTTAAGGTTGGGGGAAGGTTGAGGTGAGAAAGTCCAGAATGCTGGTTTGGAGGTTCGAAGATTTAGACTCTAATCAAAATTCTACTGCTAATTATCCCTGAGACTGAATAATTAAACTAACTTATCTCATTTATTTAATTCATAAGTGAGGAAGCTGGGTTTGGCAATTCTTTATTCTCTCAGAGTTATAATGATTTCAATAGTTCTAAAAGTAGACCTTTCAAAATTTATGCTCTTAAACAAATGTGAACTAAAATCTCTAAAAGTTGTGAAAACTAGAAAATGTTCAAAGCTAAAATCCAAAGTAGTAGGAAATTTATCCTGACTATGAAACTATTTACGGTTTGGAAACAATAATTCTGCTGTCATGTCTTGTTTATTCAGTCACACAATTTAAAGAGTTTACCTACATCTTGAATTTCCCATGGGTTTTAGGATAAAGAATGACATTTTAGGGGTTCCTATTTTATTATAACTGTATTTTTAATAATGACTTTATTGCTTTTCATTTTTCTAAATTATAGGGTGGCTTCACTCGTAAATATTCACTTAGCTCAAAAACTGGAACGCTTCTTCCGGAATTCCCCAGTGCTCAACACCTTGTGTACCAAGGATGCATTTCTAAAGAAAAGGTACCAATGAAAGCTACTTCTCTATTGATTTTCTGATAGGTTGGTTCCATATCTCACTTTGCTAGGAATCTCATGCCACTTGCAGGAAGCAGTCAGAAATCTGCATACTCAAACATAATGGACTGATTTATAGAAGGGACAAGTGTTTACTAACATCGATCAAACACTTTCCAATTAATTATTTACCATCTCCATGATAGTACATAATCAGAAGTTGGTAAAATAAACATTACAAGACTAAAGATTGTTTTTTATTTAAAGCTCAGTATGAAGGAAGAAAATACCAGAATGCATCCATCACATGCATGTTTTAAATCATAAGCTTTATGTTTGGAATGAACTCCATTTAATTTCTATAAAGAGTTATCAAGCATTTCTCTAGAACAGAATCTGTTCCTAGCACTGAGGGGAGGTACCTAGATGAATGCAAGGCCATGCACTAGATGGTAGCAAAGTTTCTTTTCAATTCTAAAATTCTTGATTCTCTGGCATTTGCAAGTTATTTTGAAAGTTAAGGAAGAAAAACTTTTCATAGGATTCAGTTTGTAAATGGTCTTCAACATGTAATAAAATGTGTGGCTAAATCCTCCTCTATTTCTGAATTTCTGAAGTCATTTTTATATACCTACTAGCTGACTAATAGCAGGATCTATTTTTAAATCAGGGCATAATTTCTACATTCTTTTTTAAACCGGAGTTCATTTTTCATTAGCATTTGAGGAAAACACCTTTGGTCATATTTTGAGGTGCAAAGATAGAGGAATATGATGAAGTAATGCCCAGTTGGTTGACTGTAGAAACCAGAAATGAAAATAACACATTAATAAGAAACTACTGGTAAATAGGTAGACATGCACAGTAACTTCTGATGACACTTACTCTGCCAGTTAAGAATAGGTGAAGTATTGAAGGTTATTCTCAAATGCCGATTCCAAGCAAAGCTCCTGAAGTGCGTCCACTTCCTACTTTTCTCCGCTCCCATCATTTTTACCTTATAGATGTAATGTGTGATATTATGGCTTCAGATTTAAGACAGCTCCAGTAAATGTGAACATGTGGCAGTTTGTGGAGGAACCTGTGAAATCAGTGGGACCTCAGGGAACACAGTTCTTTGGGGGAGGGTATGGCTGAGCACCTTTGTGGAGAGGATTCCTACACATTGTAAAGACCTTACTGTGTAAATATACCTGATGAGAGAAAAAGGTGGGGAGAGAGCAACAAAGAAAAAAGAGAAGTGAGGAACATATTCCAATAGTTTATTTCAGTTTCTCTGCTGGCTCCCAAGGAATTCCCTACTGTCAACTTGGAAAACTGGTCTGTAGATCATTATCTCACTCAGGTATCAAGGTGCTTACATAACCCCTGGTTTCTAAGTCATTCCCATTGGTCCCCATCATGAGCACCAGGGACTAGCACTCATTTTGTCCCTTGAGGGCCCTGAGCCCCGCCTTTCACCTTCTTCACCTTAGCCAAGTTCCCCAGATAACTTCACAGTCCTAGAAAGAGGGGTGGGCGGAAGCTCAGCACCTGCTTTCTTGAGACAGAAAGGATGGGACTGCCCAGTGAGAAGTTGACTCCACTGAGGGGTGTTAGCTGAAGCTGAGGGACCTGATTTCTGCCTCATCATACTGTCACTCAAGGCAATTGCTACCCCCCATCACATTCTCACTGACTTTACTGGAGATAAAACTTGCCTTTGTTCCTGCATCTCTTCTCAGAAAATCAAGCAAAATTATGTTTATAAATAATGCAAAGTATAATACAATGAAAATTTGTTGTCCTAAGACTATCTATAATAATAAAAGCATAATATGCTAATTAGACTGGACAGCCGAACGACCTTCTGGATGTCATTCCGGACGTCCTTCTGGACAAAGCTGTGGCAGCAGGGGCTGAGGCAGAGACGGTTAGGGGCAAGCAGTTAGGGGCGATCAGGCAGGCAGGCAGGCGAGTGGTTAGGGGCGATCAGGCAGTCAGTCAAGTGGTTAGGGGCAATGAGGCAGGCAGGCAGAGTGGTTAGGGGAGATCAGGCAGGCAGGCAGTTGAGTGGTTAGAAGCCAGTGGTCCCAAATTCACACCTTTAACCTCTAAGCCATGCTTCTGTTCACATAAACTACACAACTGGTAACAGTGGGGACATTTCTAGCTTATCAAATGATTTTGAATTTGAATATTTGTAAGTTGCTAAAATATTATCTAGTTCTAACCCATTCCAAATTTTAGATTATATTTAAAACTTTATGCAATATAAATATCTTTGGTAACATGGAAATAGAGACTTTTCATGATAGACACTCAATACCCAAACTTTTTTTGGGTGAAGGAGTCATTTGATATTATTACTAATTTTAGGTAATATTTAGTAAAGTGTTACTATGTACCAAGCACTGTTCTATGTGCATCACATCTTACTTCATCCTCTTAACACCATATAAGTGATATGCTATTACTACTCTACATAAAAACAAAAGCCTGAGGTTCAGAGACCGAGAAACATGTGCAAAGTCACATCTGGTAAGAAGTGCAGTGGCGCTGGGCACTCAGGTTTAACTGACTCAAGAACTGAACCTGGAAACCACTCCACCACACTGCCCAAGTACCCACTTAATAAAACTTAAAGGTGAAGAGTTGGTGTGTTTTACCATTTCACACTTATTTCTCCAATAAGGTAATTTTCTTATTGAGCAGGAAGTCACCATGGTGCCTTGGCCTGTATGTCTCTGCAATCACCTTTATCGTTGTTTTATGGTACTGTTCTATGATTACTTAGTGCTTGCCTTTCTCCCTTCACAAGGCAGTAAGCTCCCTGAAATAAGAATTTTTCCTTTATTTTTTGATTCCTCAGCATTGAGCACAATGCCTGGTATATGCCAGGAGCTTAATAAATGTGTGTTGAATGAATGAACAAATGAAGGCAGTGTTGAAAGGATGCTGTGGTTAAGCTTTTTTTTCCTTGGAATAGGTTGATACCCTCATAATGATGTACAAAACTCACTGCCAATGCATCCTGGACAATGCAATTAATGGGAACTTTGAAGAGGTAAGGGTGACAAAAATGCTTTGCTGACCATACTATAAATATTTTCTTGTTCTGTTCTTTATATGAGTTGAAGCAAAAATCGTAATGTACATACTCTTTGCTCTGCAACTAGATCCAGCATTTCTTATTACACTTCTGGCAAGGGATGCCTGATCATCTCCTCCCCCTGCTTGAAAACCCTGTTATCATTGACATTTTCTGTGTTTGCGACTCAATTCTTTATAAGGTAAGCTCCATGGGCTCTTTTAAACACAAACTATATATTTCTTTTAAGAGCATTCTATCTACATTTCTGCAGTATATTTTTGATAAATTTGTTATTTCTGGCTGGAGAAACACCATTAATTATTTTTTCTGATGAGAAAGCAAGCAGTTTAATAGTCTATGTTTAATAATATATGTATTTTAATGTAAATTTACATGAAAAAAAATCAATTTTTATTTATAGCTAAGGATAATTCTAAATGTGACATACTAATACATGGACACTTAGTTAATTTTTATTAACTGTTCAAGGTGTTTTCAGATTAAATAACAATATGGTTGTTGTTTTTTTTCCATCATGTCAGTGTTTTGGGAAAGAGCAGAATTAAGCACTCTCACAGGACTAATAACTTGAAAAATCTTTAAACTCTCTAGCTTTGATGCATTAATGTCATTTTTGTTCTCAAACCAAATAAGGGTCCCCAAGCATCTACAGAAGGATCACAAAGACATCCTGAACGAAGACAAGAGGAGCCAGTTGGCCTTCTAGCCAAACACTTAGCAGGAAGGGGGCGAGGCTAGCTCCCCACAGTCTGTTCTCTAGTTAGAGGAGCAGCAAGGTCCAAGCCAAGGGAGAAAACTGTACTGAAATCTGGGTACCTTAAAGTGCATTTCCTACAGTTACCTACTAAGTTGTCATTAAAAAAGAATCGGAGTTAGCAAGAAAACCCAAGCAGCGCCTTGTTAAGCATTAAGGAAACAAAATCCTCCTAAGTTATGAAGCAGAAGCTGAATAGATTTGGTCCAGAAGCACCTTTGCAGACCAACTGGCAGGTGGGCTTGAGGCGGAATGGGGTGCCCGTAGTTTCATCCTCTGTTCAGCTCTCCCTCACCACAGGATGAGAGAATGGAGGAGTCAGTGCAGGATATTCTCTACTCTTAGTTCAAGTTACAGAAGGACAGAAGAGAGTGAGAATTGTCTTATTTTGGGAGGTTGAATAAGAATATTACTATTTGGAAGGAAAAGACTTAGTTTGCACTGACTAATTGCAATATTTAAGGCTTGAGAATGTAACCAGGAAGGGGAGGGAAGGTGGTTCCAAGAGCGGGACTAAGAAAAGACCCGTAGCTCAGGCGCACGTTGACCAGTAGGATAAAGCTGTTTGGATGTCATTCAGCACCTCTAAGAATATCCTTTAAGTACCTTTCCCCACCTCAAATGGTCTCTTTCTTTGAGTCCAACACAAAGATCCTGAGTTTCTCCTGAAATGAACCAAGTTTCTCTTCTTCACAGAGAACTCAGGGAGGCACAGTGAACACTGTCCATGGAGCAGTGTAAGATCCACATCCCCCTTTAGAGAGCGGTCCCAGCTTCTAGTCACTGAAACAGTCTGGCAAGGCAATCCATTAATAACTAACATACTGAGCCTAGACAATGCTGTGTCTTGTTTTACTGTCTCATCCTCAGGGAATGCATGTTTTGCTGGTAGGCTACACAGGCCTTTGTAGATTAGTGTCTACCCACATTTTGAACTTTCTTCTCCTGTGAACCTCTTGGTCCTCTTCTCCAGACTGGCCCACTAAGTTTATTAGTCAGCCTAGTGGATCTGCACTGCTCCTATCCTTTCTGGCTTAACAACCTCCTTTTTTCATCATAGTTTATCCTGAGCTGGAATCAGCACTAATTTCTCCTTCTATGACTTTTCATCTCATACATCTTTAGGGCTCAGTCTAGCCCTTTCTTTTTGGTACTCTTTCTGTTCTTATAATTAGCTCCCTGGACCCACTATGTTAGTGTCACCTGCTTAACCTAGTAATTGCAATGTTTTTAGATCTTCCCCTCCCTCTGTCTTTTAAACACACACACACACACACACACACACACACACACACACACACACACACACCCTCATACATGCATTGCTTCCAGAGATAAAAGTATAAGTTTCAGAAATGAATTAACATGTTATTCTCTTGAAAGCTCGGGATAAAAGTAATTGACAAATAATGTCTTTCTATGGAAATACTAAGTAAGAATTTATAACTCTCTTTTGCTGTGATTAAGGTTCTTACAGATGTACTCATTCCTGCAACAATGCAAGAAATGCCTGAAAGGTAGGTTCAGTCAATAACACTCACAATAAGCCTGAAAAAAATGATCTATATATTTACCCCTAAGTTTGCAAGTAATTAATGTTCATTGTGGAGAATGAAAAACATGGGTAATTACATTTAAAAAAATTAATCATAATCTCACCATCTTCTTAATGTCTTAATTATTATCTCACAGACTGTTTTCTAGGAATAACTGTAAATATGTACATTTTAAAAAGTAAACCGATAGTATACATACTATCGCAGTATATGGTGAAAAGTTTTCATATCAACAATACAAACCAACATTATCTTTTCAAATGGTTGCATAGGTTTCTAGCATCGGAAAAACACTATACTTTCTTTATTGAACCAATTACTTATCAATGGGAGCTTTTTGAACCCAATTCCAAGTAGCAATTATGATCCTAAATTCACAAATGAGAAAGCCAGGAGCAGGGAGAAGTTAGTTTATTATTTTATACTTATTTAATTTATTTGCTTGTTATTTATTTAGAGTCAGCCTATATTTTAATTGAAGTCTGTTTAACCTCAAACTGTCTACTCTTTTTCCAGTACCATGTCTTAGTCCTCAACTTAAGCACCACCCCAAATATATTTAAATCTGTTTTATTTATATATAATCGGTAGATTATTAAATGATTTTTAAAATTTTTGTATGTTCTCATAGTATAAAAACAACCAACATTTGCAATTTTGAAATAGGGTCCTCTAATGAGCACATTTTTGATAATTTATCCCAGAGTTATATTTGGATTGTAATAATATACTACTAGAAACTAATATTACATATCTGAAATGATGTCACTTCCAATGTGATGGGCTCTGACGAAGCTAAAATATGAGAAATCAAGTGCACACCTACATTTCCCAAAAATATTTTATAGAAAATGATTGAATCATGAGTTAATATTGATAATTATTTATTAAACACTGTGCATGACAATCTTTAATCTAAGCACTTTCCATGAATTATTTCACATAATTCTCATAATAATCTTGTGACATGGATACTATTCTTATTTGCACTCAACAGATGAGGAAACTGCAGCTTGAGGAGACTGAGTATATTGAGCAAGATGATAAATGCCAGCCATAGGCTGACTTCAAAGTCATGTTCTTGGAATCACACAATAATTGTACACCTTTGTTAAACTACATTTATTTAATGCATTTGAACAACATAGCATTTAACACATTGGTGTGGTTTCTTTTTTTTTTATAGCTTATTAGCAGACATAAGAAATTTTGCTAAAAATTGGGAACAGTGGGTTGTTTCATCCTTGGAAAACTTGCCAGAAGCTCTGACTGACAAGAAAATACCTATTGTGCGAAGATTTGTATCCTCTCTGAAGCGACAAACATCTTTCTTGCATCTTGCTCAGGTATGTTAGCAAGCCGAGGGTACTGAGTCATCAACTCAAACATGAACCTCCTAATAGCAAAGTCTGAGGGACTTTCAGAGTGTGGAGACTAAGTAGACAGGAGTCAGATTCATTGTGAGATTCTAAAACAGAGAAAGGACATTAGTGGAAAAACTGATAACATTAGAATTATTTCTATAGAGTAGTCAGTAGTTCCATACCAAGGTTAATGTCCGATTTGGGTAATAGACAACGGTTATGTAAGATAGAATATTAGGAGAAGCTAGATAGACAGCATACGGAAATACAGTTGGCCCTTGGTATCCATGGGTTCAACAACAGTAGATACTGAGGACAGTTGTACTCTGCACTGACTTTGAAAGTTTGTTGTAAGTTTATAATTACTTCAAAATAAAAGTAAAAATGTAATTCGAATGCAATGTAAAATGTAAAACTCTTATTTGCCACATGAATCTAAGTAACAAAAATTAAGTTTGAAAGAAATGAGCCCATGTGATATTTAATGTTGTAAAACCCACAAAACCAAAACGTTTTAAAACTGCCTTCTAATTTGGCTTTCTTAAATAGAGTAGAAAACAACAATTTTAAAATTAGATTACATGTCTGTATATTTTTTATGTGTTTTTTTAAATATGTATTTTTATTGATTTCAGAAAGGAAGAGGGAGAGGGAAAGAGCGATAAAAACATCAATGATGAGAGAGAATCAGTGATCATCTGTCTCCTGCACATCCCTTACTGGGCCCACAACCCGGGCATGTGCCCTTAACTAGAATTGAACCCGGGACCCTTCAATCCACAGGCTGATGCTCTATCCATTGATCCAAATCAGCTAGGGCATGTTTGTATATTGTTAAAGTATACTTTTCCTCTTCTCAAATGATCATTTGCTTTAAGAAGGTTTCTAGCTCCCTAAATTTTAAAAGACTAGTTTGGGGGTGGGGGTGAAGGTGAAAGTGGGCATAGAGGGGATGAATGGTGATGGAAAAAATAAAATAAGAAAGAATAATAATAAAAAGAGACTAGCTTGGACTAATTCCAGATAAGAAACATAATTTCATAAAATCCTTATTTTGTAACTATGAATTAAAAAATTCATTTTCAAAGTCCAGAATAGTTTTCAAACTCTTAACAGAGATGATTATGAGTCTCAGTTATTGCTTTTTAGTTTTAAGTAAGAAAACACTTATGATAATTTTTCCTGAAGGAAATGTTTCTCTAGAAGCTAAAACTTTCCTTTAGATAGACTATCACTAAGGTAGTTTAGTGATTTTTAAAAAGAAAAAAAACCACAAACCTTTTGTATGCAGATTGCCAGACCGGCTCTCTTTGACCAGCATGTTGTGAATTCTATGGTATCGGATATAGAAAAGGTTGACTTGAACAGTATTGGATCTCAAGCCCTTCTCACCATTTCGGGCAGCACAGACACTGAATCTGATATCTACACTGAACGTAAGTCTTCTCTCTCTGCTGAGCAGGGTTTCCCAGCTTCGGCACTATTGACATCTTAAACTGCATAACTCTTTGTTGGGGGCTGTCCTGTGCATTGTGGGATATTTAGCAGCATCCCTGGCCTCTACCCACTACACTTGAATCCAGTAGCAGCTTTCGCCCAGTTGTGATAACACAGAGATGTCTCAGACATTGCCAGATATTCTCCCCTGGGACTACAAAAATCCTATCTGCTTGAGAATCCTGTTTTTAAAAAACATTTTAAATTAGAAAATTTTTCTCTATTTAAAATCAGTTGTACTGACTCATTGTGGAGAACCTGGAAAATTTAGGAAATATGAAGAGGAAAATAAAAGTTATCCATAATCTCATTGCCTAGATATTACCAAAATAGAAATAACCTGGAAATAATCAAAATGGTCTAGCGTTTTGTGAATTTTCTTCCAGTTTTACATTACAAGCATCCACATTTCCATGTATTGAACACTCTTGGCATCTATGGCATATGATGCATATAAAAATGTTATCTCTGCACAAAACTGTTTTTCAAAGCAGAGAATCCCTGATCAGCTTTGGTCCACCTGACCGAGTTTACCAAGCCACTATGTGTGTCTAGACAACCAAGCTTGGTTTCCAAGGAATAACAGCCTTCTATTTTTTCCCTTCATCTTTTCTGAAAAGATTTAAAAATAAAATGCAGCCTTATATAGGCTATAGCACCAATAATAGATTGCTCTCTGGGGATGGTCTAATTTCAACCCTGCTTTCTGTTTCATAATATAAAATTATATTACCCTTTGAGACTCAGTAAGCCTCGAACTCTTTAATAAAATGATAGTCTCAAAGTGGCCCTTTAAATTTTACATGATAAAAGATTATTCATGTAAGTGGCTCAAATCTTCAGTGCAGAATTTAAATTTTGCTAAAGATAAAGAATATTGCATAAGCAAGAAATCTATAAGCCTAGTTCATCCTTTAGCTTTCAACTAAGCCATTGCATTTAATGACAGCATTGGATTCAAAATGAGTAATCAACTATGTTGACAACTTACTCTTCCCTAGTATAAACATACTTATATAGTATCTAAACCTATATTTCAATACATACCAAGATCACTTATTAAAATTTTGAAGAGTAAAGTACCATGTTCTCAAGATATGAAATTAATTCCTTTAATACATGTAACTTAATCTCCCTATTGTTCCCTTTTATTATATATTATTGATGATCCCTAGTTTTAGGTTTTCTCATGGGTTCAATGCAGAGTGCAATATTCTGCTTTTCTCCCCTTTTATACATGACAGATGACTCTATCACGGTGTTCCAAGAACTGAAAGATCTCCTGAAGAAGAATGCCACCGTGGAGGCCTTTATTGAATGGTTGGATACTGTGGTAGAGCAGAGGGTAATTAAGGTACTTTTCAATACTAAATGCTAAACTGGCTGTAATTTCTTACTGCTGGGGCTGGGGTGACAGTCTGTGTGTAAAAATGCTTTGAAGAGTTTTGAAGCCCTACAAATAAGGCAACCCGAATAGCAAAATTAGGAATATGCCAGATTTGAGAGCACTGGGCATGGATTTGATTCTATTGATCCTTTTTTGACTAAGGACTACAAGACAGGCACTATAGTAGTCTCTCTTTAACTGCAATTTTGCTTTTCGTAGTTTCAGTTACCTCAGGTCAACAGTGGTCTGAAAATATTAAAGGGAAAATCCCAGAAGTAAACCATTCACAAGTTTTAATTCTTCACTGAGTAGCATGATGAAATCTCTCACTATCCCACTCCTTCCTGACAGGATGTGACTCTTCCTTTTCTTCAGCTACCCATGCTGTACATGCTCCCTGCTTGTGAGTCACTTCGTAGCTGGTTGGGTTGGCAGACCTACCCCAGATTGTCTTAGTAATAGCCCCAAAGTTCAAGAGTAGTGATACTGGCCATTTGGATATGCCAAAGAGAAGTGTGAAGTTTTTCCTTTAATTGAAAACTTGAGTAGAATACAATAAGATATTTTGAAAGAGAGGGAGAGAAGGAAAGAGAGAGAGAGAGAGACCACATTTACATGACTTAGTATAATTTATTGTTATAATTGTGCATTTTATTGTTGTTAATCTCTTACTGCACTTAATTTATAAATTAAACTTTCTTATAGGTATGTATGTATAGGAAAATCTTAGTATATATAGGGTTTGGTACTACCCGCAGTTTCAGGCATCCACTGTGGGTCTTGGAATGTATCTCCTTTGAATAAGGGGGGGCTACTATAGGCCTTCCCTATCAGTCAGTAGAGTTACAGCTGAATAACATCAGTAGTGAAAGATAAACTTAGAAACTGGAAAGATTCTGGCCCTTTTCTAAAAAGAAAGTTTCCATAAATGCTGGCAGAAAATATGGTTTTAAGTATTTACTTTTTTTTTTTAAATTCAAAGAGCTCAGTATTTTGTGTTTTCCATGTGGTTTCTTCAACTCTTTCTGTTAACCTTCAAGTCATCCATCATGAAAACAAGACAATGAGAACAAATATATCCATCACTGATCGGTGTTAGCCATTCCATATCAAGGAAACTAGTTATAGTGTAGGGACTTTTTTTATCCTAGAAGGAAAACAGATTATCAAGCAGGACCAGAGAAGTCAGAGTTAATCATTCACAGAAATATACCACCCTTCCTTCACAGTTCACTTTCTGTTCTGTCAAAATAAAATAAGAGATAAAATATTTGTAAATTATTTCATTTTGTTGTCCAATTCTATTAGGTAACAAGCCCCTGCAGAATAAACATCTGTTAACCTTAAAAACTGCAGAAAAGACAATGAGAATCCCGGGATAGATCATTTTATTTGATGAAACAAATGGCGTGCATGCCATCTGTCCATTTGTCAGACAGGTTATCTACCTCTTGGGTCTTATGTAGGGTCCATGTACTAATGAGATGACAGATTTTATAGTTCCATTTTATTCCTTTACTTTCTAGACCAGCAAACAAAATGGAAGGTCATTAAAGAAGAGGGCTCAAGACTTCCTGCTGAAGTGGAGCTTTTTTGGTGCTCGAGTAATGCATAATCTCACCTTGAACAACGCATCCAGTTTTGGTATCCTATGTGCTCTATTCAACTCTTCTTAAATGAATTACACCATTTGTTCCCAGTCACATTTGCATCAATTTTTCAACATGTGGCACTGTCACTTCTCAAACCATATCTGAATATTAAGCCCGTAGAGACTAGTAGTTGTGAACCTGGTTTTAGAGTCAGATCACATATGGGTTCAATCTTAACACTTCTCTCTGGCTTGGGCTTTACTCAAGCTCTCTGCACATCATAGAAGAAGGAGAATATTCCTTTCATTGAGGTATATAGGGATTTGAGTGATATATATGATATATATATATATATATGTATATATATATATATATATATATATATATCAATCATACCATCATTACATTCCATAAGGCTTCGATAAATGCTTTTTATTAAACAAGCAAATAAATGGTAATACATGCATTATTTTCCAAAGGCACTACTATTGTGATATGGCAAATTTTTACATATTTTTCAGGAACCCACATAGCTGCACTTCAGGAATTAGAGAGCAGCTTAGAAGACATGCTCACATGTTTCTGAACCATCTTTCCTGCTATGTGATATGTGAAGCAAATTGAGTCGAGCGAGCTTTTTAAAAAAGGAAACATCTTCTTTCTCCTAAAAATATTACCTTAGTTTATTGTTATAAAGCTAACTACAGTACTTCTGCATTTGGTAGTTGCATTTTTGAGAAATATTTACATTCTAAAATAGCTTGTAAAGAACTACGTTGTTTTTATTTAATTTTCAATGTAATTAAATAAAATCAGTGAAATTGTATTGAGGGATGAATAAAATGTATTGAGTTTATTATTTTAACTATCCTGCTTACATTAAGGTTTCTTAAAATATGCAACATTGAATCCCAACTTTTTTATGGGAAAAAAAAGGGACTCTTTTTGGGAAATCTGTTGAATAGTGGAAAAAAGTTTAAGATTTTCCAGAACAGCTTCTACATGCAAATTACTCTTTTCCTTTTTCAAATCAAAGAGTATTTTGTTTCAGGCTTTAAGGACATCTTCTTGATACTTTTTCCAGACTATGTTGGCCATTGTCTAATTATTTAGTACAAAGTAAACAGAAATAGAGCAGAATAGAGCTTATTCTCCCCAGGTTAAAGCTTATCACACGCCAATGTGTGCCCTCTTAAAGCATAAAGCATGTCTCACTTTCATCCGTATTTTCCTTTGATGTAATTAGTGGCCAAAGAGCTGCCAGGACAGTACACACAGTGAGCTGGCAGGCGGGACACAGAAAGATTAGAGACCCAGGTTAAGCATGTTGGTCTTAGCAGGTCATTTAAAGTCCAACAAGTATTTGTTTATTTCAGTTGCTCCTTGTAAAGTATTGCGAGATGGTCACCAAGATAACTTGACTTCTCCCTCGTTCTCTTTCCTTCTCTTTCTCCCCCTTATTTCATCTCACAATGCCCACTACCCATTCCCCGTCCATAAACAAGGTTCCTTCCATTTGATCCGCATGCTTCTTGATGAATACATCCTCCTGGCCATGGAGACCCAGTTTAATAATGACAAAGAGCAGGAGTTACAGAATTTATTGGACAAGTATATGAAAAATTCAGGTAACTTAAAATGTACACCTTGTTTTGCATATTTGTTTGTTTAAACCCAAGTTCAAGCATTTGTAAGCACACATGTTAAATGGGTTTACTAGTATTCCAGTCTCTGAGTTTACCCCAAACACGTCACTGCTAACATGGTATACTGATATTAATGGAGTCCTGTTTTTTCCAGGGACTGCTCTTTTCCATAGAGTATTCAAAGTACTTTCCTGAAACTCTGAAGGAAACAAAGTCAATGTTCTTAACTTTTGAAACTTTAGATAAGATTGGAGAGATGACTATAATAAAAAACCAAAACACTGTAATTCAAGACAACACATGTAGTATACCACCTTATAAATGGTATAGAAATAAGCTCTCTAGTAGTTTAGAGAAGGAAGAGAACACATCTGCTTGGGATGTGATGAACTGCATTTTGAAAACTGTTCATGCCAGAGTGGATTTTTTATTTTTTTAAATATATTAATTTTTATTGATTTCAGAGATGAGAGAGAGAGAGAGAGAGAGAGAGAGAAACATTAATGATGAGAGAGAATCATTGATCAGCTGCCTCCTGCACGCCCCACACTAGGGATGGAGCCCGAAACCCAGGCATGTGCCCTGACTGGGAATTGAACTGTGACCTCCTGATTCATAGGTTGACACTTAACCTCTGAGCCACGCCGGCCAGGCCAAAGTAGATTATTTTTATTGCTGTTCAGAACCCACCTATACCCACAAGCATACAGTTAACTGAAACAAGCACCCAGCCAAGAGCCAGCTTTGTTTCCCATTTCTCATGAGCGTGCAGATTTCTGATACAACCCTAAATATTTGCAGTTTCTTTTACTTGGGCTCCTCTACTGGGAATATGGGAATGATGTTAACTTTCCCATTTTTAAAAACCATTCCAGACGCAAGTAAAGCCGCCTTCACTGCTTCTCCGAGTTCATGCTTTCTGGCAAACCGTAATAAGGCGAGTGCAGTTGCCAGTGACACTGTGAAGAATGAAAGCCACGTGGAAACAACCTATCTGCCTCTGTTATCCAGTCAACCTGGAGGCTTAACCTCTGCTCTGCACCCATTCCCTGCGGGGAATGCAGACAGCATGCCGCTCGCAGGTACCCTGGGGAACAGCCGAGAAAACCACCCAGGCTTCAATATTCATCACAGGGGGCTCTGCCGTTGTTTTCTTGAAATTGGTAATCTCCAGGCATCCCAAGAATAAAAAAAGCTTACCTTCACTGACTTTTAATAATGATTTATAAAATTCCTATGATTTTAAGCATTTGTTACTCACATTTTTAGCAATACTATTGTTAACATGGGCGTCCCACTTTGACACACTGTCTTACTTATAGCAGAAGTATAAATAATTAGTTATCTTCATTTGGTAGAAGAAAAATTAGATTAGGTGTGCATAAAATCCTTAAGATGCTTTGAGAGTCAAAAAAAAATGGGCTGTTATTTATTTTTGGCTTTCAAGGAGACTTTATTTCTCCTCCATTAAAAAGTGGATTTAGCCATTTCAGCATAACCATTATAAATTTACTCTTTGGTCTGGGGTACCTTTTGTGTCAATCTGAATGTCTAGTGGCTTGGATTAGCTACTAGATAATTTCGTATTGCTTTATGTCTTTTTTGAAATCCTTTTACATACATTGCTTCATTAAACACACAGAATTTTAAACCCAGAAGAGCCTTATAGTTCAAGGGCTTAATTCCACCAATGGGAACTTGGAGGGCTAGGGAGTCGATGGCATTTATAACTCATTGTTCATCAGCATGATGTGTTGAACTGGCTGCTTTAAAGCCATGTCATTGAGACTTTATTGCCCTTTCCTTTTACCCTGAAAACCAAACCACTGAACATTCAGCTTGTTTTTTAATTATAGAAAAGTGAGGACAGCAGACCCCTTTGCCCTCCCCAACCTTGAGCTCTAACCACCTTTATACCCGTGCAAGCATGAAGCCTCCGACTTTCTTCCATAGTCACTAACTCCAAAAGTCTCCACTGCTGTGAAATATGCCTGTAGTGTGACGTGTTTTTAAAATCTAAATTTTTGGTGTTCTCCACTTTTGTTGTTTTGAGAGAGTAGGAATGAAGTTGGAAAAGGGTATAGTAATAAATCTTTTGCATATTTTTTAAAGAAGTGGCCCGTCTATTTTAATCTGCCATTAGTGAATACTTTGGTAACTTTCTTTCAGGTCAAATGGAGCTTTCCCAGAGTTCTGGTCATCTGATGACACCACCCACCTCTCCAGCCATGGCCAGTCGAGGAAGCGTCATTAACCAAGGTCCAATGGCAGGGAGACCCCCAAGTGTGGGTCCCGTACTGTCAGCCCCGCCACACTGCTCAACATACCCGGAGCCCATTTATCCTACTCTTCCTCAAGCCAACCACGACTTTTATGGGACCAACTCTAACTATCAGACTGTGTTCAGGGCGCAGCCTCACCCCCCATCAGGACTCTATCCTCATCGCCCTGAGCATGGTCGGTGCATGGCCTGGAGTGAACAGCAGCTCTCCAGAGATTTCTTCAGCGGCAGCTGTGCTGGGTCTCCCTTTAATTCTCGGCCACCTTCCAGCTATGGACCATCCCCGCACAGCCAGGATCCACACAGCATGCAGTTCTTAAATACAGGAAGCTTCAATTTCCTGAGCAATGCAGGGGCTGCCAGCTGTCCAGGAGCAACGCTGCCTCCGAATTCACCTAACGGTATTAACATTTTTAAAGCTTGCCTGGCTTTTGAGAGGACAATAAGACAGACCAGACATTGAGTTCCACCTCTGTTGAGTCATCCCATGTAAACCTTCTGAAGATCATGGAATCTTAGGCATTTGGAGCTAATTTCTGCTGCATATAAACATATCCTTAGGTGTTGTTGTTTTCTTAGTTTTACATGCCACCTGTGATGAAAAAATATGTCAAACCATATGTTTGAGACCAACCTTAATAGCCCCAGAGAAGAATGCTTTTTTCTTTAAAAACATTTTTAATGAATTACATTTTCCCCAGAGAACTAGCAACAGATCTTAAAGATTAGGACCAAAACTATGCCCCTATTCTGCTGATAAAACACTTTAAGGAGCTAGAAAGATCTGTGGACTTCTTCAGCCACCAAACTAAGCTCTAGGTATAGACAGTTCTGGTGCTTCTCTCCTAACCGTAGGCCAGTTCTTCTTTCAGAAACAGGAATCTGTCAATGAAATTGGTATTTGATAAGTAGTGTAATTTTTGTGAGAAGCTAATAGTGCTTTTTTTCATTCATAGGAATCTTGATAATTTAGATAAGGGAAATATTAGAGAGATGTAATTAGATATCTAAATTAATAATAAAATAACATGAATTTTTTTAAAAACACTCAAAAAACAGTATTGTGAACCATTCCATATATAAGTAGAAACCCAACTCTATGGTAAATGTAGATGTGAATATAATATTTACAGTATGATATCTTTAGGCTCTATCCTATCATCTTGTCCCCCTTTGCCTTCCTGAAATATTTTTTTGTAATAAGTTAACTGTCTGTTCTTGACATTTTCTGTTCTAGGCTACTATGGAAGCAATGTGAACTACCCAGAGTCTCATAGACTTGGATCGATGGTGAATCAGCACGTTTCTGTCATCAGCAGTGTCCGCTCACTGCCTCCCTACAGCGACATCCATGATCCACTTAACATTTTAGATGACAGTAGTAGAAAGCAGACCAGCTCATTTTATGCAGACACATCGCCTTCAGTTGTATGTCGAACTCCAGTAGTAGGTAAATTATTTTAGTAGTTCTTAAAAATATTTTCAAAAGTTGTTAACCTTGTGTACGCAGTATTACTTTGGAGGGTGGCTGTTGAGGTGAACTGGGCACTCATGTTCCTACAGTTGATTTGTCACTTTGGACCTGATGACATAGATGATAGATAGATAGATAGATAGATAGATAGATAGATAGATCTATACGTATAGATATAGATAAGATATAGAGATAGAAATAAAGATAGAGCTAGAATATATTAATCCTCACCTGGATATTTTTTCCTTTGATTTTTTTTTAGAGAGAGTGGGAGGGAAGAGGGGAAAGAGAGAGAAACATCAATGTGAGAGAGTCATAACAATTGGTTGCCTTCCTCAGGACGACACTTTAATCTCTGAGCAACACCAGTCAGGGCTGACATTCTATTTTTGTATCTGCAAGTAACAGTTTACCATTTCTCAATATGTATGGCACTACTGCTGAAACCTACTGCTAGATCTGTTACTCTTTTCAAATAACATACATGAGAGCTGGCATCTAGTATGTATGCAAAAATGAATATAACCTGTGAAAGGCAGTCTAAAAGTCTATAGGTTTTATGAGAGCAATAATTATATCTTTTTCTCACTCTCTTGTTCATGGCTGGACCCAGAGGCAATGCTAATAGGTATCTCCATCAGTACCTTAAAACTATTCCAGGTTTAAAAAACTGGTAACTTGTGGTGGAGGTTACTATCATGTTCTCAATTGTATGTAAAATGTGATTAGACACCTCTGTAGAAAATGTTTCTATATTTATTGTTCTATAGCATACAGTTTAAGTAAAAATGAGTAAAACAGTGTGATTTCCATGAAGTCCCATAGCATCTTCTTCCACCCAGGTTGCTGTACCTAAAACAATCCTGAAACTTGAATTAGATGCATTATCAGCACCCAGCAAAGTGTCTGCCACATAGTAGGAACTCAAGAAATCAGAGTTGCAAACACACACATTTTGTTTCTAAAATTACTAGTAAGGTATCACAGGACAAGTGTATATTCATGTGAGTATCAGGGCAGAGGTTAATGCGTACATGAGATGGGTGCAGCCTTCCAGTGGAATGGACTTCAGACTAGCGTAAGTAAAGGGCATTAACACCCAACCGGAGCATAAGGGAAAAGGAGATAGATTCTATCTCTCCCCGCTCAGTGTGCTTTTCTAATAATTCAATAGGAAGTGCTTCTTCCCTTCCTGTGACCGTCACAGCTGTTCCCTGAGCAGCGTCTAGTAGCTCATCTCATGTTATCTGCAGATGGTCATTGCTTCTACGTTACTCTAATGAAGCAGAAAATTCCACTCCAGGAAGTTTCCTCACTGTGAGACTGAAATGTGCCGTGTTGCTATTGTTACTATTAGTTCTGTTTACTTGTAGAGATAGTGGTAGCTTTGATGGAACATAGCTTAGGTGTCAGATGGATTCTAAGCTCTAGCTGTCAGGGCTGGCTTACAAGTAAATTGCATACAGGGCTTCAGGGTGAAAAGAGGAAATAGAGTAAGTAAGGCATGCAAGTGGAATTAGCACCCGCCTTATATCAACTGAGTTTTAAATCTTGGTTTTTGGTGGCAGAGAAGATGGTAGTTAGAACTATTAAAAAAATAGCAATAAGCCCTGGCCAGTTTGGCTCAATGGATAGAGTGTCAGCCCACCGACTGAAGGGTCCCAGGTTCGAGTCCAGTCAAGGGCACATACCTCGGTTGTAGGCTCAATCCCCAGCCCTAGTCAGGGTGCATGTGGGAGGCAACCAATTGATGTGTCTGTCTCACATCAATGTTTCTCTCTCTCTTTGTCTCTCCCCATCCCTTCTATTTTCTCTAAAAATCAATGGAAAATATCCTTGGGTGAGGATTAACAACAAAAACAAAAAACAACAACAAGAATGCAGCAACCATAAATGCAAGAAATGCAGTGTTCATGAGCCAGTTATTCTGATTTTTTTTAGAATCTACTATGTGCCAAACTTCATTCTAGGTGTGAGGATATGGTAGTAATCAGGCCAGAATTCCTGCCTGTAAGAAGCTTACATCTTATTAAGCTCAGGGGAGATAAAGCAATGCATATATAAACAAATACACTGAAAAATAATTTCAATTATTATGAAGTCAATTAAATAGGGTAAAATGACAAATAATGATGGAGAAGCTATTTCTAGATAAGGTGGTTGTAAAAGGAAACCAGAGGCAGAAACTTTGGCGTTGAAAGCTGAGTGATAAGCAGGCAATGACATGAAGGTCTGAGGGAGCTCTAGGCAAAAGAAACAGCAAGTGCATATAGTCTCTGAAATGGGAACAATATTGGGAAGTTCAAGGTGCAAAAAGAAGGCATGTGTTTTGAACATGGTGAATGAAGAAGAGAATGGAGTAGAATAAACCAGAAGGCAGACAAATCCCCACAGGGTTTATGAACCAGGGTGAGCAATCTGGGTTTTGTTCTAAGAGTAATGGGAAGTCATTGTAACATTTGAAAAGAGTGAACAAGCTGATGTATTGTTCAGCAAGATTATCCTGGCTCTCTCTGCAGGGTAAGAGGGTGGGGCAAAGGTGAGGGTCACAAGATTAATTAGGAGGTTGCTGTGTTGGTCCAGGTAAGAGAAGATGGTGGCTTGAACTCCAATTGTGAAGGTGCAGATGGAAAGAGGAGGGTATTGGTTATATCTTTTGGAGGTAGAGTTACGTGAATTTAAGTTTGGTATTGAGTTTTCATTGTGAACTGTATAGAATAAATAAATTCTGGAAGAATAACAAGGGGGGAAATAGAAGAAAATAAGGGATGGCTTTGAGAAACCACCATATGCACTCAAACTTAGTATAGAGATGTGTGCTGAATGCAACAATAAACAAAGAGGTGTCAAGTGAGCGGCTCTTGCAGAGAAAATAAATGTCAATTTTCAATTGCTGATTATATTTTCCTTTACAGCATCCAGCTTGCAAACCCCAATTCCTTCCTCTTCATCCCAGTGTATGTATGGAACCTCTAATCAGTATCCAGCTCAAGAAACCCTGGACTCCCACGGAGCAAACGGGAGAGAAATGGTGTCCTCTTTGCCACCCATCAACACTGTGTTCATGGGAACAGCAGCTGGAGGCACTTAAACCAACAATGTTGGGTGGGGCTGAAACTCTAAAAATCCCTACTGCTCAATATTATTCTCTCAGACTCTCATCAGAGTGAAGACAATGGGATAGGCGGTGTCAGGACATTGTTTTTCAAGTCACTAGGACAAAACGGTGGACAACTCCATAGTAAATGGAGATTCTTGCGGAGTTTGTTTTGCACACAAATTGTTTAAAATGTGATCTCATTATTAATCAAAGTTTCAGATGTTATCAAATGGAACCAGTGGAGCTTTGAAGATGCAAACATTTCAACTATGAAGATTTAATGTTTCACCCCCTAATTTATTGAAAATCTGTGCGCTGTTCACATTTTTTGGTTTCTAAAAAAGAGAAAAGTTTATTTAATGCCTTTAAAAATACCTTTAATATATTAGGATCTCAGATTCATTGTTTACTATCGCTTATTTGACAAAAAGTCAAATGTGTATGTTCTACCTCCTATGGAAATGTTTACAAAGTTAAGACTTAATTCAATCCAGCCTAGACCAAAGTTGCTTGACTTTCAATTCCTGTGCATTAGTGCGATTATCTCTGTTACATAGCAGTATTCCAATTCTATGTAACTGGAGATTATAAATGCTTTCCCACTTTATTTAAAAAGATGAGAAATAAAGTATGGAAAAACTTTTAAAGGTGTGGTTGATCTCAGGGGTGGGACTGTGATATGTCCAAACACCCTGGAAAGAGATATTTCAGTCACTCAGATTTCTATATAATAAGGAGTAAATTAATTGTTTTACATGTCTCATGATAATGGCTATGAGGTCTTATAAGGACTGGGGTAGGAAACGGTTTATACTGTATTTTCAAGACAGTTTTACAATCCTAGGTTAGTTATAGAAATTTAAACAAAAACCTTCCAGAAAGGTAAACAATAGTGGTTATGGCATACAGGACGTTTTGTGCTTTGGGAAGATAAGGAATGATGAATTTATATAAAGGTTATTGTACTATCTCACTCAATTATTAAAATCTAAATTAAATCCTCAAGTTTGTAAATGGCAGAGAACACAACCTGTCTGTTCCAAAGGCACACTGATAAAATGAAAAGAAAATAAATTTCAGTTACCCCTTGATTATAGGCATTAGCAATGGCTAGAAAAGACTGAAGTGAGTAATCTATTCACTAACTTTGAGATATTTGATTATCTAAATAAAGTATTCTGGTTGGAAAAAAGGTTTTCAATTAATTTTCTAATATCAAAATCTTATAAGTAGTGCTTAATTTCTATTGATCTTGGTTGCATAATACTATGGTAAAAAAAATTTTCCATTATAAAAACAGTCTATTTCCAGAATGAGCAAAAATATGTTTAGTGGTTGTTGTTTTTTTTTGCAGAATCTAATCCTATTGGAGAGATCTCTGATTTTCCCCCAAATTTCTCTTCTAATATTCATTCAGTGTTTATGAGGATAAAATTGACCATTCCTTAGTTTGATCCTTTTACTTGTCATATTAGAAGTTTCTAGTAAAAGCCGCTCTGTCCATTCAATAGCATGGGAAGTTTTGGACATAGATATAAATGTACTTCTAGATTCCTTTTCCTATTAAAAAATTTATCTCAATAATTAATTTTTATTTATTGAGTATTCTTAATGAAATGTCTTGGTTGTGTTCTTAGATTTGGTTAGGTTTTGTTAAGAAGTTAATATGTTGAAAGTTTCAAGAGATAACTCTCTTTTATCCCACATTTTAACAAATTTGTCAGCTCACACTGGTGATAACGCCAACAGATAAGGTCCCTCCTCTCATGGAGCTTACAGTTTATGAGGTAGGGCAGACATTAAGCTAAACATTAACATAATTGGTAGCAATAAAGAAATGGTTAATTGAAGTTGTGAAAAGAAGGGAAGGCTGCTCAGAGAAATTATATAATAGGAGTTGAGCTTATGGTGATGCCTACAGGACAAAGGATCAGGAGAGCTGGTCTGGAAGAAGCGACTAGCTGAGCGAGAAAGAATGAGTGGGGAGTAAGAGATGTTGGGGAAGGGAGTTGTGGGGAGAAGGGTAGGCAGACAGGACAGGTGTTCAGGATAGGAATCCAGCAGGTAAGGAATCTGTGACTCAAAGTTAAAAAGATGTGTCAGAGCTTGGGGAGCTTGAAAGAGTGGTCAGAATGAGTCTAGCAAAATATTCCTGAGGCTTTTAAACATTAATGATGACCATAGGGGTTTGTTGATAAAACCTGAGAAAGTCATATGATTGTGAAGATCTATAAAGTATTAGAAGACATTGATAAGAACGTCAAGCTGAGATTTTTATAAATCCTGATTTTGCTGAAATATTTTCTTAATGATATCAGCATTGCTTTTCTAGAATCCACTATTAAAAATCTTTAAGCTCCTTGTATGTGTTTAATGATGACACATTACGAAAATTAATTTTATGGTTTTATTTTTGTTGAGATATTAGTTTTAGGAGTTATTTTCCTTAATGAAGGTCAGAATTTGGATCTCTTTTAAAAGTGGTGATTTTAGCCAATAATTTAAATTTTAATAGAATTCTCACTTCTTTTTTTAGAAATTCAATCCCCAACTTCCTCCCTGGGAAAATGCACTTAAATAACAGGGACAGGAAAAATACCTTAATGCTGTTAGGTGGCATTTTTCTGTATTGCTGATGTGGTTCATATTAACCCTTCAGTTGAGGGGAACTAAAGGTGAAGAGAAGGTCAAAACCAAGATTTCTCAGTGTGATGTGGTGACTTCACCTCTTTTCTTAAAATAGATGTCTTAGAGTCTCCAAGAAAGAATTGGGTGAGAAGCACATTTACAAAAGTGAAAAATTAACTACTCAATATGATACCTGCTCTAAAGTAAAGAGAAACCATTGTTTTTATTAGTTAAAAACAAGGGTGGTGTTTTTACCAATCAATAGTCAGAATGAGGGTCAAAGATTTACAGCCTTCAAGCATCTTTAAACAACCTGAGGCAAATACAAGCTTCGTGGGCAGTTTATCTAGATTTGTCATTTAACTCTGTGTACTTTAGCTTATTAATGCTGTACACGTGGCCTCTATGGAAAATAAAGCAGTTTTCAATATTTTATATTATAAAGTAGCAAGATTTCTTGAATTTTAGGTGGTAATATATTTCTTTTATGTGCCTCCTCCTCAACACATATACCAGTTTTAACTCTTTACTTACTGTCCAGATTCCTCTATAATTCATACTATTAATTTGAATTCTCTGGTACCAGAAGAAACTTCATCTAGAAAATGTGCCGGAAGATGGGATCTGCTTCACAGAATACTGAGTGTTCAGTTGCCTAGGCTGTTAGAGGCACTTGGACATCAGACTAGCAAAGGAAGCCCTCTAAGAGCCCATTGATCCTTCAATGGAAGATAACCCCGTGGCATGTCAGCGGTTCTCTTACATCCTGATGTTCCCCAGGAAGTATCAGGGAAACAAATGGCCAAGAACTGACTCATGAATCCTGGAAACCAAAAAGAACAGCTTGTCTTTGACACATGCTTCAGTGCTAAATGGTTTGCTCAAGAGAGACCCCAGTATCACTTTTCCTGGGCTCCCTGCATTGAAGAACATAAGCCCATCAAAGATTCAGATGGGGTACAGCAGGGACAACGAAATACCAGGATGACAGGGGCTAATCTTGAGTCCTCCTAGGAAAGGCCCCAACCAGCATTGACATGGTTGTTCAACTTTTTGTTAAAATATAAAAACAGGATCAACATAAAATATGATTTTGAAGTAGAAACAAAATATGTAACAATTTAAAACCATTATTACACAGACAAATCTGTGTTTGAAGCCGCATTAAACTGTGAGACAAGTTAAATAACTTCTCTGAGACTCATTTTTCTCATCTATGAAATGGACTTAATAATATCACAAAAGGTTTTTGTGATGGTTAATTGAGGTGATGCTCATAAAATATTTAGCATAATGGTTTCTGACATTGCACAGGCTCAGTAAATGGTAGCTGCTATTCATATTCATTGTTATTCAAATCCCGTAGAATCAGTAATACTACTGAAAGCAGTGCAAGCTGTTCTTATGTGCCTTTATGTGTAAGTAGACAGCTCTATCGCTAGAGTTTTCTAGCAAGATAACTAGGCTGGTATAATTAAATAAAAATTTATAATGTAAAAGTAAAGGAAAAAAGCAAAATGTAGTCAATCATTAACTACTCCAATATGGTTTCATGGAAGTGACACAAGATACAATATGGTCTGATTGTTAGATATAAAAACATGAGTACAAACAATATTTTAAAATAAATTTGTTTATACATACTTATTGGCTTCATACAATGATACAAGTTATTTCTCTATTAATAATTCTGGGATGTAACTGTCAATGTTTACTTCAGTCTCATTGTCTTTGTTTTCACAGACCTGTAATAAATAGCCATAAAAAGATGAGATTTTTTGATGAATAACATTTAAAAAAGTATTTTCATTAATTAATTTTATTCCCCTTTTAAAGTCAGTTAATATTTAAAAATATAAATGGTTAAATTTATAATTTGAAATTATTGTGTTGGACATTTCAAATGCCTTTATAACTGCAAGGTTAAGGACAAGGTGCTTTCTGTTTTCATTACTGTTGTAAAGAAAACCTTTACCCAAGCCTAAAGTACTCTGAAGCTACTAAGCTGAACGTACAACTATTGATTATTAATTATTGAGCATCTCCTCTAAGATGTACTGCAGGCACCTGAAGCTCAGCATGTACAGACCTGGAGCCATGAGCTCTCTACTCAGGTGTGTTCTGACCATGTTTTCCCTTTTATCATTACAGTCCTATGGGAGCGAAAAACCTGGAAGTCACCAGAAACTCTCCCTTACTGCCCCCTCTCCCAGCCACTTGAAAGCTATTCCTTCTCTTATTTTTGTGAGCTTCCTTCTCATTTTCCTCATCCTCACGTACAATGCCTCACTGCATGCTCATCTCTTGTCAGGACTATGGGATTAACTCTGACCCATTCAGCTTCTCCATCACTCACAGAGGGA